AACAATATTCATCTTAACAAGTATACTTAATACATTTCACATAAATGGAGTAAGTTTTTTTTTTTCTACATTGACTTTGAAATTTCAGAGGCCTAGAGTACTACACCGGCCTAGTGAAGGTGGGAGGGTCATACGTATTTTCTAAGCTGAACAATGAGCCCCTGGGGGCATGGAATGAGTGGGGGCCCACCACCGGGGACAAATGCTCTCTGTATGAATACACGACTGGTGCATGGCGCTGGAAGACAAACAACTGTAATGTGGTCCGGTTTTTTATATGCCAATACATTGTACCTACATCAGGTAAATATGATAATGTCCAAGACTGTCGAGTTGAATCTGGTTCTTCTGATAATTAAAAGATAAGTACTAGTAATTTTTTTTATTACGACTTACTGTAGTATTTTACCCTTATCTAATTCCAATTCAGTTTGTAGTCTTTCTCCGTCTCAAATAACGCATCCGTATGTCTTTGCATAAATAAATGTATTTACGCCCCCATAATAGAAGATTCATGGGTGTCAAGTTTTTGTCCTGTCTGTTCATTCATCTGTTTGTTTGTCCGCAAAAACTTTAACATTGTCCATAACTTTTTAAGTGGGTGCATGGGGCTATGGGTTTCAAACTTCGCATGTGTATTCCTTGTGAAAAGGCCTTTCTTTGGGTATCACAAAAATTGACATTGATCTTCTCGAATTTGACTCACTTTTACGAAAAATTACCAAACTTTGACCTTGGCCATAATTAACTTTTGAAAATTTAGTGCTAGGACTTTCACACTTCCTTGAGAAAAGTCCTCTCTTTGGGTACCACCAAATTTCACCTTTTGACCTTGACCTTATAGTTTGACCAATGTTTAAAAATTTTAACCTTGGCAATAACTTTTGAACAGGTAGTATTTGGGCTTTCATATGGTACAGGTTTATTCCTCTGGACACCAACAATTTTGGCCTCTGGACCTTGACCTTGGAGTCTGACTTGCATTTGAGAAACTTCAACCCTTACCATAGGCTATCATACGGGACATATCAGTGTTTCACAAACTCATCTTGCTTCTTGTAATAACAGGGTACACGCCTGTTGTGTTGATGGACGGCGGTCTTATGTCCGGACGGGCGGAGATCTTCAGGAATGACATGTGGGGGACGTTTCAAGATTCTGCCAACTCGGGGACAGGGGTTGAAATCTGTGAAGCTATGGGATACGGGTAAGAATCAAGCCTATTAGTTTTGGCGAGGGCATTGTATAATTTTCAGGCGCAAATCATCGTTTATGAAAGTGGGGGGGGGGGCAGCCAGAGAATATTTTTTTTTACTTACCTGAAAAAGTTGACAAGCAAAAAAAAAAAAGAGGGAAAAGTTGCCCCAAGTCGAAAATAATATTTCGGGGGGGGGGGGGGGGGGGGGGGGGGTAGAGGCCAACTTTACTCAATATCAATTACTTTTAGTATCAATTTTCATACTACATTTTTCGTACATCACTAATAGTGGGGGGCCAACTAGACTTTCAATTAACATTTCCTATGCTATAAGAAAGGTTGCGGAAAAATGTGGGGGGCCAGCCCCCCCCGTTGCTACGTCCCTGATTTTACCCTGAAATATATTAAATGGATACAATTTGTGGAAAAATTGTTAGAAAATAATGTACATGTTTAAGACGTGTTTTTTTTTTTTCTATTTCATGAGGCACACGATTTACAAAAAAATATTTATTTACCGCAAACAAGCATCATGATTCAAGATGCAAAAATGTCTCCCTTTCCGAACTTCCCAGAAGATTTGCTAAATATGTCTTTAACAGTAAAGAGGATAATGGGGATGGTTCATCTTGATGTTTGTTCCCCTAGACCTACAAGGGCTTCGTATTGAAACTTATATTAATATTTTATAATAGGAATATTTTATCCTTTCTGAATACTACATTAAATTAAAATGTTAAAACATACATTATACAGCGAGAAAAGTTAACAAGAATTCCTCGTTCTTTAACAAATTATCAAAGATTTTTTTTGAAGTTATTAGAGATAGTTTCTGATTTATTTATGTATACTAGTATCAGCTGTTCCACTGCTGTGGGGGTTCTTGTAATTTTCAATGATTAATATATCCAGATTAACCACAATTATATTACCTTACTCATTAACAGCTAGTTTGGGCCAAAATAAAAAATACCTTTGTTTCCCCTAACGCGACCGACCCAATTTAATCACGCCGACTGAAAAGATTTTTTTTAAATAAGATGATTCAAAATTATTTTTATTGTCGACCAAGTTTTATAAAATACAATTTCATCAAAATCAGTTTTTATCAGAACGGCCGACATTGTTCTACTGTGATTTTCAAGCATTTGATGGAAACAAAATAGCGTCCAAATGTGATTACAGAGTAGTTCTTTATAAAACAACGGCGATGTCTCAATCTTATGCCTATAGCTATCTAGAATTCTTCACTCTTGAAACAAGTTGATAATAAAATTCACCATGACTAATAAGAGTGTTTCAGAGGTGTCTTAGCGTCACCTGGAAATGTGAGTGAAAATTTTTTCGAAAGGGACGGTAAACAACGAACAAACAAATCTGTCTGTTGAATTTCAGAAACGTAATACATGGAAAGGCCAGCCTCATGACCAGATGAAGGGCCCACCTAGTGAACACATCATTCAATTTCACTGCATTTTATTTAATTTGAGTTTTGATCTGTTCCTATGTTTACTATATGCCATTTTGGAATCATAGGAGTTGTAAATACATCTGCATATTCATCCTGATAAATATTATATTTAGTTGTACTTTCATGCCTTTCTTCACGGGTTAAACTTTGTGACTATGACATTGTTTTATAGAGCATTTTTATCATTTGTAGATTTGGATTGGTTCATTTAAATATTGCTTAAATACTCTTTCCAAATAGTTTTGAAATCATATTATTCAGCTTCCTGATCGAGACGTCCATGCAGTTTATTTTTCTTTAATTAGGTCTTAATCCCTTCGATATTTGTTGGAACGACACTTGTACATTTTCCTATTGCTCCAGATCCACGTACTAAGCACTTTTTTGCCAGGAAGCAGTGGCGACTTTTTTTGAGCCAGCATCTTCTGCGACAAGTTTTTATGATCCCTGTTGATGGACCGTTTTCAACGTTCCTCATTGTTATATGAACCTGCGACTAAGAATTATCCACTCACGTCTTAACTCCAAAGCCAAATGCTCTAGAACCACTGCAAATCTCATGGCCCTCAAAAAAGTACATTGACTGTCTATAAGCACTGGAGGATGATTGAAGGGTTTGAAAAAATATACTCGGATGTCCAGTCTTTGCGTATTTGAGAATCTTGTTTTTTTAATTCGATTTATATAAATGTACCCTGGTGTGAGATATTTCACAAGTTTATCTAAATAACAGTTGTGAATTAATTTATCATGAATTTTGCCTTTTAACGGCATATGTATGATACATGTACTTAGCATTTTCTTCACAAATCACTTTCTTTTGTGCTTTTCTTACTTATAAATGTAATTTTCCATAAAATTTTGAAATGGATTTTCAAACCTGCTGTCAGAAAATAAAATTGTTTACCTACCTACCGACGCAACTTAAGAATTTAGGGTCGGGTTAGGGGAAACAAAGATATTTTTAATTCCGGCCTTGTTGGTTTGATGGTTATTTTACCACGTGGTTAACCAGGTCCGTGATCTGTTGACTCAATCACGATGCTAAGAACTGAACTTTCAAAACAATTGTTGTTTGTATTTTATAGGTTCGTGGACACTCAGAATTGCGCAGGTGTGACTTGTGGCACCGGTCAAGTCTGGTACGAAAGAGTTAACTGCGCTTCAGGAGCGGCCGTGTCTTTAACGGATTGTTTGACCGGATTGACTCCGTCCGATTCCGATGACCATTCGAAGGACCTGGTTGTCCAGTGCAAAGGTAATATACATCTTGTAATGACCTAAAAATATATCTACTTAGGTCACTAAGGAACACACTTGTAGTCAGAATGTCAGACAGGGAAATACAAGTCATGTTAGACAATCATTAGGATCATAAAACACATTGGTTCGATTAGAGAATTTATTAACCACAGCTAATTCAGAAACACGCAATATACATTACTTCTATGACCTACATATATATATATAAAGATGGAGCTCCTGGAAATCGATATTTTATTTGTATATATTTTTGCAAATAAAACAAATAATATAGACAATCTGTATTGCACATACAATTTAAAAATTAAAATTGGTCAAAAATGATATTGGGTTTGGTACTGTCTTGTAGTCACATATTTCAAATTGATTCCTGCAATGCTTAAATGTTGTTTGAAAAAATACAGTAATATTAATTTTGATACAGCTCATAAAAATGGTCGCATAATATTTTAGCTGAATTCCAAATGTGAATGGACACTGGATCCAGTGCATACTTCAGCAATTTTTTTTTATCAGATATAATTTTTTAATAAAGCCAGTAAAGTTTGATCAATTGTCATCAAACTGTTGTCTCTTTCCACATTTTTTTTATTAAAATAGAAATTTTGGTGTTATGACTGTCTATTTAAAATAGTCATAAAGCCAAATAGCATATATTTTAGTAAAATTTGTATAAGACAAGCGACTTCGTTTCCAACTCTTCTTGAGGTTTCGATGACAATTCTTAACTTGAATAAAGCCAACGCGCTGACAAGTACTTTTTCACGCTTTTAACTATAAGAAAATTAATGACATCCTTCTCAAAATTTTACTTCCACTTTTCGATAATTCCATTTTAAGAACAGCTGCCTTATGCTTATGGTAAGTGTATTTCCATTTTAAAAAGCTTCCACTAAAGCAAGTTGTAACAGGATTTCTAGCTTACCTGAGCTGAAAGCTCAAGTGGAAAACAATGAACAGTGGTAGGTTTTATCACTCCATTTTATTTCTTTTGAATGTACTTAGTAGATTTGCATTTCAGCTCCGGAGTCGACAACTGCTCCAAACCCGATTTCTACATTGCCAATAACTTCTGACAACAATGCCACGGGCTGCAACTGCACAGTGACAGTTTACGTAACACCTCCGCCATCAGCATGCTTGACAGGTAAATTAAAGAATTTTCTTATATACACTGTATCATTTGCTACTGAAATGGGACGAGTTTTTTTAAACAAGTTTTGAATGCTTTCAGTTGATTAAGGAAGTTATGCTCGATCGGCACTTGAAAAAACATAGCCAAGATTATCCGAAAAGGTGTCTAATTACTAATAATTTTCAGTCTGACCCATTCTCAGTGTAGATATTTGCTTCATTTTTCGTTAGTCAAAGTATTATGCTGCTATTTTCACAGGTAACAATACAATCAACCCTAACGCCACCAAGGTCAGCGTTGTCTATGACGCCCTGCCGACCTTCAACGCAAAAGACACTGCCAAATATTCCATGAGGACCCGATATGATAACCGACCATCTGCTAAAGCCATGGGGTCCTTCGGCATCATCATTATTATTGGCCTTCTGTCCTTCATTGTGGTGATCGATTTATGGAGTGTGGGCATGCGCACTCTTCAGCTGAGGGGACTTTGTAAGACAATATGTAAGAAGAAAAAGACCGTAAACGCGACGTCTAAGACAACTATCAAAGTAGAAAAACTAATCGAACCCAAGAAGAAGGATGCACATACTTCTATGACGACCAAGAAAACACTAACAAAAGTCACCACTAACCAAAATGTCAAGACAACTGATGTAGAGAAAAATAGCAGCAGTAACCCAAATGCTACGACATCCAGTGTTGCTACGAAATCCGGCCTTGAGAAAAATGTTAACAATACCCAAACTGCTAAGTCGTCCAGTGTTCCTAAGACATCTGATATTGAGAAACAAGTCAACTCTGACCCAGCTCCTAAGTTAACCAATGTTGAGGAAAGTGACAAAAAGAATGAATCTTTGGTTTAATTGTATGGCTCTCTCAATCGATGTTAACGTGAATGCAGTCTGACATCTTAAAAGCATTGCAAATGCCTAAATCTGTTAAAATACTGTAGCAGCGCATTTTAGATGTTGAATGTACACTTTTTTTCAAAGATATACATGTACAAATTAATATAGGCATTGAGTATTTGGGCTTAATCCCCAAACTTTTTTTGTTGGTTTAGCCCCCCTTTCCCCACTTTCAACCCCCCCCCCCCCCTCAATTTGCTTCTGATGCCTATGACTCTTACACCTTTCGAGACAATACATCAGTTGAGTTTTTGCTAGTTTTCCTATTATTCCTGGTCTATCCTCATTACTTTTGCAATAACTCATTGCTTTCCACTGAATACTTCCTTTCTTTGGAGATAAATTATTTAATTTTTATGCTACCATAATCTAAGATTCAGGGGTATATAGTTTTTGCCCTGTCCATCTGTCTGTCTGTCAGCAAAAACTTTAACCTTGTCCATAACTTTTGACTGGTCGGGGATATGTCAAAATGACTTTCATATTTCACATGTGTATTTCTTGCACAATTGACAAGACCTTTTCTTTGGGTACCATAAAATTTGACCTCTTGATCTTGGAGTTTGACACAAAAATACCAAACTTTTACTTTGCCCATACCTTTTTCACAGTTGATTCTAGGCTTTTCATACTTCACATGTATGTATTCTTTGTGACAAGGCATTTCATTGGATACCAACAATTTTGACCTTTTGACCTTGGATATTGACCTACTTTAAAAATCTTTAACCTTGAACTTTTGAACAGTTATCGCTAGAGTTTTCATACGTCACATATGTATCCTTGTGACAAGACCTTTCATTGGATTCTGATACCAACAACTTTGACCTTGACCTTGGAGTTTGACTTACTCTTAAACATAGGTAATCAGAGATTATAGAGCTCACCTCAACGAATGTTGTCTTTAAGCAAGGCAAAGTCACACAATTAACCAACAAAAAGTATACATTCCAAAAATGAAAATATTTAAGGAATTTTGATCTGATACTTTGAAATAGACATACATAAAAAATTTAAACTAGTTCTTCTTCATGAAAATGTAATGAAAGTCCAGCATCTGAAGCAAATTTGAGAGTTTTCATCTCTTGATGCAGCATTTGTGCAAGATTGGTTTATACAATGTTATATAAGCCTTATAGTTTTTGGTAATAGACCTGCAACCATAACTTTTACCTTGTCTATTATCTGAAAAATATATGTCGAATTCAGCATCCGAAGCAAGTCCATTTGTGTGCATCCTTAGATGTATCATCCATGCAAGTTTGCTCAATACACGGCTCATAGTTTATTGGAAATAAAACATGCATCAAAAACTAACATTTTCACTTATCCACAAAAAGTAGGTCAGATTCAGCATCCGAAGCAAGCCTGGTAGTATGCATCCTTAGATGAATCATCTATGCAAGATTGGTCATTAAAGAACTCATAGTTCCTTGGAAATGAAACCTGCACCAAAAACTTTTACCTGTTCACTCAACCAGAAAATGTAGGTCAGATTCAGCATCCGAAGCAAGTCTGGTAGTGTGCATCCTTAGATGTATCATACATGCAAGTTAGATAGACATAGAGCTTATAATTACTTGGAAATGAAACCTGCACCAAAACATTAACCTGTTCGCTCAACTGGAAAATGTAGGTCAGATTCAGCATCCGAAGCAAGCCCGGTAGTATGCATCCTTAGATGTATCATCCATGCAAGTTTGGTCAACATAGGGCTTATAGTTACTTGGAAATGAAACCTGCACCAAAAACTTTAACCTGTTCACTCAACTGGAAAATGTAGGTCAGATTCAGCATCCGAAGCAAGCCCGGTAGTATGCATCCTTAGATGTATCATCCATGCAAGTTTGGTCAACATAGGGCTTATAGTTACTTGGAAATGAAACCTGCACCAAAAACTTTAACCTGTTCACTCAACCGGAAAATGTAGGTCAGATTCAGCATCCGAAGCAAGCCCGGTAGTATGCATCCTTAGAAGTATCATCCATGCAAGTTTGGTCAACATAGGGCTTATGGTTACTTGGAAATGAAACCTGCATCAAAAACTTTAACCTGTTCACTCAACCGTAAAATGTAGGTCAGATTCAGCATCCAAAGCAAGCCCGGTAGTATGCATCCTTAGATGTATCATCCATGCAAGTTTGGTCAACATAGGGCTTATAGTTACTTGGAAATGAAACCTGCACCAAAAACTTTAACCTGTTCACTCAACTGGAAAATGTAGGTCAGATTCAGCATCCGAAGCAAGCCCGGTAGTATGCATCCTTAGATGTATCATCCATGCAAGTTTGGTCAACATAGGGCTTATAGTTACTTGGAAATGAAACCTGCACCAAAAACTTTAACCTGTTCACTCAACCGGAAAATGTAGGTCAGATTCAGCATCCGAAGCAAGCCCGGTAGTATGCATCCTTAGAAGTATCATCCATGCAAGTTTGGTCAACATAGGGCTTATGGTTACTTGGAAATGAAACCTGCACCCAAAACTTTAACCTGTTCACTCAACCGGAAAATGTAGGTCAGATTCAGCATCCAAAGCAAGTCCGGTAGTATGCATCCTTAGATGTATCATCCATGCAAGTTTGGTCAACATAGGGCTTATAGTTACTTGGAAATGAAACCTGTACCAAAAACTTTAACCTGTTCACTCAACCGGAAAATGTAGGTCAGATTCAGCATCCGAAGCAAGCCCGGTAGTATGCATCCTTAGATGTATCATCCATGCAAGTTTGGTCAACATAGGGCTTATAGTTACTTGGAAATGAAACCTACACCAAAAACTGCACCAAAAATGTTAACCTGCTCCAAAAACATTAACCTGGTCATTCATTTGCTGAAATTGCAGCATCTGAAACTTTGTCTGGTACAATGAAACACACTAAAACCATCTTCCATGCATGTCTAATCAATATAGGACACAGAAGTAATTAAAAAGAAAACTGCTCCAAAAAACTTAACCTTAGCCTGGGATGCCGACGCCGACACCGACGCCGACGCCGAGGGTATCACATAAGCTCCCCCCAACTTCGTTGAGGTGAGCTAAAAATCTTTAACCTTGGCCCCAACTTTTGAACAATTACGGCTTTCATACTTAACATATGAAATCCTTGTGATAAGATCTTTCATTGAATATTAACAACTTTGACCTTGAAGTTTGACCTACTCTTAAAAATCTTTAACCTTGGCCTTAACTTTTGATCAGTTAGGGCTAGGTCTTTCATACTTCACATATGAGATCTTTCATGGGATACCAGCAACTTTGACCTTGACCCTGGAGTTTGACCTACCTCTGAAAAACTTTAACCGTGGCCATAAATTTTGACAAAGTGGTGCCAGGGCTTTCATATTTCATAACTGTATTTCTTGTAAGAAGGCCTAACTTTGGGTACCAACATATTTGATTTGCAATTGAGAAAGTTTAACCTTTGCTATGATGCCATACAGGGGCATTAGTGTTTTACAAACACACCTTGTTCTGAGTTCAAGTTATACTAGCTTATATAATTATTTGATACACATTGTTTCTTTCTTTCTCTTTTTGTGTTGCCATTTTATGAAAGAGCTTGGTGAATTTAATATTCACTCTTGACTCTCAGCCTTTGCCTTAGGATCTTGACTGATTCAGTGATCACTTTTTTCCTTCTATCTTATAGGAATATCTGCATGCAATCATCATTGGAAACTTATCGTAAATACTCAGTGTGGGTTTCCAGCAATGGCATGGAGAATACGTCTCACAAAGCCTGATTCCTAAATATCAAACACTATTTCCATTTTCTATATATGCGTTATAGTTAAAAATATAAATTGAACACCAAAAAGTATTAAAAATCCTTATATTTAACATATTTACCAAACAAATAAAGAAAATGCAATGAATTAAACAAGGAAATCTAAAAGGTACATGTAGAACAGTACAAAAGAATACAACCAAAGAAATTTCAGAATTAGTGAAATGTAACAGAATGGTGAAGAAATAAAGTATTCTTCAGGTATTCACCTCTTCCTCCCCCTTCTGTAATTTCTTCTTGGTCTGTTTTATTTCATTCTCAAGTCTAAAATTATAAGAATTGTTTTAGTGGAGAATACCTTATGTAATACAGCACTGTCTAACAGATGAGTTAACAATCTATGTTTACTGCTGTACTAAGAGAGAGATTAAAATTCTTTATAGGTTTTAGCTATTTAAAATGAAAAATTCAACCAAAAAAAATTCAATATCTTGCATGTATATAGGAAATACTTTTATTTTGATATCCCTTGATCAAGAATATTACTCCAATATTAAATGTAATGCATCTCTGAAATACCAGTAAGAAATCTGTTAATACAATATATAAAAATTAACTCATGAACAGAAGAAGCATGCATGTTTAAAATTTCTTCCTGGCATGCAGAATTTGCGGTGTTTTTTTCAAATTTATTTCTTTCTTTGTAAGAGTTACTTACCTTTGCACCTCTAGGCGGCACTGTTCTTTGGTTTCCTGTCGTGTCAGGTGTGCTACTTCTATCATGTTGTACTATATCCAAAAATTCCATATATTTTGAGTTGTTTATATCATAAATCATAATATGATAACACCACTACCTTTATCAGAGAGAAAAGAAATATAATAATTCAATTGAATTTAAACCCAAAAAAGATTGACTGAATTAAGTCAAAATATTGTACATGTATACATATTGACTGCGTTCAAGTGCAACATGTGTTTTATCAGACCCAAGAAAACTGTTTGCCTGGGATCGTTGATTAGATGGGTACTGATAGTAAGCACAAATATAGATGAAAGAAAAAAAAATCTTTTTTTCATTCCATTAAATGACTTTTTAGCCAAGCTCATAGTCATAGCTCGAAAAGCAATTGCTGTCTAATTTACCTGTTCAAGCAGGAAATTGACCCCACAGTTGAAAATTCAATTGACTATAAATGCTGCTGTATAATATGTTCCATTTAACTAAAATACTTGTTTGAAGATTCATGTTAGAACAAAGATAGGGGGAAAAATAGTAACCTGAACAAGGCTGGCCTGTCTTCTAAAATACACCATTCCCTCCTCGTCTGCGTGGAATGGGTGCATACTGACCAATGTCCCACATGATACATCTGCATTTCTAGAGTCCATCGGGTCCCAGGGTTTTATGGTGATTTCTATCACATAGTCTGTGGCCAAGATACCCTGTAGAATGAAAAAAAGTTCCTGCTTGTTACATGTATGTACTAACTCCATTTTAGCTAGTCAAGGGTTTAAGATCTGTAGATTTCGGATTGGAAACCCTTGGATTGCAAAGGTGATGTAACTCTCAATAGTTTCTTATTAGAAGATAACTTCTTTGTCTCATACTGCATTGCCTTACTTGAACACTGGGAGAATGCCTTTAACTTTAAATTGTACACCAATTAACCCTTCCCCCACTCTCCCATACATGAGTGCAAGCTGAGTTGACCGATTTCTTGTCCTACCTTCCAACCTTCCCCCAGACACCCAATATTGTATAACTTACACAGCTGTATTGAGACAGAGATTCCTTATCACACCAGCAGTAGTGATGAGTACGGAATTGGTGTGGACGCTTTCTTTCCTCAGTCTCGTAACATTCCCTACAATCAAAAAAACTTAACCTTAAACTTTAGTAAATAAAGCTGTAAGACTTGATAAAAGCTAAATTGAATCCCATTTTTTATATCCCACATTTGGTGGAGGTGTTGGTGGTGATGGTGGTGGTGGTGTGGGGGGGGGGGTCACTCACCCTGGGTCAGGCACACACTGAAGTAATCTCTCCTCCTCAGTACACTCCTTCTGTATTACTGGCACAAACTTGACCTTGTACCTGTGTGGGGCCACAGGAGGGGTGTATCTAGACATCAGGTCATCTAAACTTCCTATGACATGGTCTTTCTTCAAAACGGAATAGTTCATATAGACATAGGTAGAGAAAAAAGGCAAAATTTGGTATAATCTCCTCATAATTTTGAGCTTATCATTGAAAGTTTTAGAGACAGTGCATTCACTACATTGTTGATAAAACAAGGAAACTTTCAGGAACTTCTATTTCAAATTATATATATATACAAGTTACCTGGTATTGGGTTAATGTCACCCCACGAACTTCACCAGAGTCTATGATACCAAGGTACGTTGTTCCACCTTTCCCAGTATTCACAAACCCATTCAAAGCTCTGAAAAGGAAGAAGGGGGCAGTTAAAGTTTACATAGCTTTTACTCATCAAAATCTTAATTATGGTAAATCTGGATATTGCTTATTTTCTGGAAGGAAAAGAAAGATGCAATGGGCAGTCTCTGTATTTTGTATAATTAATGCTGAATGCTGAAAAATCTAATTATTATACACTTCTGTGCCTTTTTCTGACACATTAACAATTTAAGCAGTTGCTTTACATACAAGCATACCAATCTGTTTTATCTTCTAACCGTGCTATCCACCTGGTGAAAATTTTTTTACCTAGACACAGCTCTTCTAGATGCTCTCTCTTTCATTGTTTCTTTGGTCCAGGGAGGTAACTCTTCAACGGCTAAATTCCTGTGACCTTTAAACTCATGATACATATCCTCCTCAAATGGAACTACAGAGTCTTTGATATAGTATCGTAATAGCTTTGGTTTGGATTGGGCCATTTTATATCTCCAATCCTAACTTTGTGTGATTTTCTTGAGTCTCTGGTTATAGTAAAAATGTAATTACATGTACTAATTTATCTTCAAATAATTCTTCTTTCACATTGTTTAAGGCAACCTTCAAAGAAAAAAATGGCCAAGAAAAATGTTTATCAGTTTTTATCTGTGAATTTTTCATCAATAGTTAAATGAAGTAACAGCATCTACTTCAAATGAAGCTTAATTATGGAATCCGACTAGAACCAAGTAGTTTACTAATGGACCATTGAGCATCCACTAAAGGGTCAATGGCATGAAAATGTGATGGCACAATGGCAATATTTAAAGCGATGGTGCGATCACGATGAAATTAAAGTGAAAGTCCTGAGTTACTGCTGCATGTGAGTTTAAATTTCTAAGCTTCAAAAGATATCACCTCCATGAAAATATATAAGCTCTGAAAAAATATAATTTATAGGGAAATATTCACACCTGTTAGAAGAATACTCATGATGTCGTCCTATTATTTTAATAAATATCTTTATACTCCTGTCTGCAGCTGTCTACAGCACTGAAGGACTGAATTTTTTGTCAGCAAGGTTGGTTTAAACACATCACATTGTATTTTTTATGCACTTTTTAAATTTCGGATTTCGGTCATTATTTTTAAAATATCAAGAAAACTCCTGTATACAGTAATGCTTTTCAGTACTGACAAGAAAAACAATTCCCTGTTAGCATAACAGTTACCGAAAAAGAAGGAAATGTGCCCAATCTGTTGTAAAACGTATTCACCTGTTCACATTAGCATGTTTAAAACATTTGCAAATCGCCTATTCAGCTATCTAAAGATTTGAATGAGAAATCTATTTATTTATTTACCTAATAATGTATTATTTGTATTTACCACCTTCAACAATCTTTGTTAAATTAAGAACGATTACTGGTCTGAGTACTCTCACACTTGTCCAACAAAATTCCCGCAATAATAAACAAAGGAATAGTAAAATATCGATCCCGACTTAAATAGATAATCTGATCTCGATGTATAAATATGATTTTTCCTTTTAAGTGCATTAATATATTTATAGGACATGCGATTTCTTCTTTAAATTGCATTCTTATCGAAATAATAGAATAGAAGTGAGCAACACCACTCCAATCAAGACAATAAGCCATTAACTTAATTTTGGGATTTTCAGAAAAGATTAGAGGAGCTAGATTCAATCAACATTTAAATTATAATTGATTAAATTTAGAAGTACTAGTATCAAATTTTAAATTAAAAATTATCAAAATATTTTTTGAAGTGCATGTCGTGAAAGTTGGTGAAGAAAAAAGTACAAAAAAAGTATTGAATGAGACTTAAATAGCCTGGTAATCCTTTAAGTCGGAAAATTCAGAGCCGTATACAATGTAATACAAACAAAAATAGTAACTGTGAGCACCAGGCTCACTAAATGATACCGCCACCTCACGTATGGTTATAATGGCAAGGTCCATGTTGTATTTGGAGACCCGAAATAAGTTCAGATCAAAACGTAAAATAAGAGGTCAAAATGGCATTATGTATTTAAGAATCTGTGAAACTATCAATAAATGTTTTTCAGTGGTATAAGAGAAGTTGCGGATAAGAGATTGGGGTACCCTTCGATAATAATTTAATTGAAAACAGTAACAAACTATAGATCGCAAAATCATTTTTTTTTTACCTCTCTTCGAATATGGAAAACAATGCCCCCCCCCCCCCCCCCCGCCTCGCTCCAATTCTATAATCATTGTAACAACCCCCCAACCCCCCGTACATAATGCTTTGTTGTAATGTTAAGAAACTTACTTTAATCGTATTGAAAATATATATTTAAAATTTCGACTTGGCTCATTTGTATACATATCTCTCGTATAATCTTATCTCTGTAATATCAGATTCTTAGATTTATCGAGATAGGCCTTCGCCATTGTTTCAGGAATGTAAATCGAACGTAGCCAATTCTCATACATCACGTGACAGGAACCTGTATTTAAACGAAGCGTATACTGTAAATAGTGGTCTGTATGTTAGTTTTGCCGAGTAGGGAGGAGGTCGTTTCTAAATATCAGACATTTAGATATCGTCTTGAAAGTGTAAGTATTTTTGTGATAGAGATACTGGAAATTAGATGTACACAAACGTTGTTAATTCTAAAGGGCTAAAACTGAAACTAATCTTTTATTTACTGTGTCATTCAGTATCAAGATATTTGAGATTTTTTTAAATTTACATGTAGAAATCAATGTAACTGAATCAGAGATCGTATTGATTCAATTGCAGTATTAATTTAATTTGCTGTTTCTTTCTGTCAATATCATTTTGTTATACAGTGCATAATTTGGGGGTAGGGGTGCCATGATCAATCCTTAAGAAAAAATGCAACAAACAAAAGAGAAATAGTCCTTATATCGCTGATTTTTCAGCATCCTTTCCCCTGCTAAGATGGCTGCTTCTGTGGCAGTCAGCCAAACCCAACAGCAGCGGAATGCTGGGGGTAAGCAGAGGATGCTTTCCCATCTGGAGAGCAATAAGGAGAACCTGCCATTTGAGATGCAGTCCACTAAAAAGGAAAATCATATGGAAAGAATGGATGTCAGTCCCTTAAACAGAGGAGAGGTCAAGGGCAAACATATGTCACAGGTACCATTATAAGGGGGACACTTATGACTAAAAAGCAAGAAATATTTGTACTCTGTGAAGCAAAAATTAAAAGGGTATAATTTTTTAATTCAGAATTTCTGTATTGATAGCAAGGAATTTGGTTTACCTATATATCAGGGAAAAGTGCATGTTTAACAAAGTTTTTTTTTTTCACTCAGACAAAGGATCATAAAGACCTTTGACCATGTGACCTCATAATCAAAAAAACTTCATCTTAAATTCTTCTTGAATTAGGGGATGGGGGCACCTGGGTGTTAATCCTTCACATCACTAGGAGGTCATGTTGTGATTAGTTTTTCTAATAAAAAGATGTATGTGTTCCATTGATAAACAAATTACTTTGTCAAAGATGAAATATATGTTCAACAGAGTGACAAAGTCAAGGAGAAAGTAGCATTGAGGGACAGAATCAATGCCCAGCAGTACGGCAAAGGAGGAACCCAGAAGGTCAAGGCCACATCCGGTAAGGCTTAGAAATAAATTAAAGTCAAGGTCATGTCAAGTTCAGCTACATGTATCCATTATCTAGTCAGAGTGACAATGGAAGAGAAATATTGGAAGCTTGAGAGATCTACATTCCCCCACCTAAAAAAAGAAAAACACTAAAAAAAAAGAATCCCTAGATTTAAGCTAAAATTTTGTAGAGGTGAGCTCTGTAATCTTTGATAACCTATGTTTGAGGGATTTCTGTCTCTAGATTCATTATGGGCCAAAAAAGGAGGATTATTGAAGAAGGGAAAGTCGCTTCAGAAGGCTGTGTTCAGTGTCAACAATCCGGAACCCCTAGCTGTGATGGATGATGGTGAGTAGTGGCTATAGTCAACATCCACCATAATAATTCTATTGGGGCAGGGAAATAGGGATAGTATTACGGGCATACACCATAAAGAATTGTAATACAAATTATCAGTTATTAAACTTCAGAAGGTTTTTTTTTCACAAAGATTCACATTCACACATGTTTTGACTGTTTATAGACTTCCTACCCATGGATGTTGATTTTGTTGACCCTTTAGAAAAGATCCGCGAAGTTCAGGTCAAGATCCCAAAGGAAATCCAGGAAATCCAGAGCAAACTGGAGGGTCCATTCAACAATCCAGACTATGCTGAGGATATATACGAGTATCTTCAGGTAAGTGATAAATGTTACAGAAAAAACCTTCACCTCAAAATCAGTTATTAGCGATTTAGTTTGAATCAGTGTAAATGCATTTTTAAAATTGTATGTTTTCTGTGTCAGTTTCTGGAGAGAAGATTTACCTATCCTGATAACTTCCTAAACAACAGTGGAGAAGTCACCCCTCAGATGAGGAGCATCCTGACAGACTGGTTCATACAAGTCCAGGTATCCATATACTGACAGACTGGTTCATACAAGTCCATGTATCCATATATTGACAGACAGGTTCATACAAGTCCAGGTTTTCATATACTAAGCTGACAAACTTGTTCATACAAGTCCAGGTATATCAACATACTGACAGACTGGTTCATACAAGTCCAGGTATCCACATTCTAAACTGGCAGCCTGGGTCATACAAGTCCAGGTATCCATATATACTGACAGACTGGTTCATACAAGTCCAGGTATCCATATACTGACAGACTGGTTCATACAAGTCCAGGTATATCCACATACTGACAGACTGGTTCATACAAGTCCAGGTATCCATATATTGACAGACTGGTTCATACAAGTCCAGATATCCACATATTGACAGGTATCTAAATACTGAACTGACAAACTGGTTCATACAAGTCCAGGTATCCACATACTCAACTGGCAGACTGGTTCATACAAGTCCTTGTATCCATATATTGACAGACAGGTTCATACAGGTACATATACTGAACTGACAGACTGGTTCATACAAGTCCAGGTATTCACATATTGAACTGACAAACTGGTTCATGTAGGTTAAGGTATCCATATACTGAATTGACACACTGGTTCACAGAAGTACAGGTATCCATAGACTTGCAGACTAATTCAAAAGTCTAGATATGCTGCCAAATTTTCAGTGTTTGTTTGATGTGTTAAGGTTCACCAGGAGCTATCCCAGCAGACCTTGCACCTGACTGTAGAGTTAGTGGACCGATTCCTGACTTATCGCAGAATTCCTCTGAACACATTCCAGCTTGTTGGCATTACATGTCTTCTGATTGCAGCCAAGTACAATGAAAGGTTTGCCCCAGAGGTGAGTACTTTGTGTTCAATTCAATTTCAGGACTTTGTTTTTCTTGATACATTATATCTTCAGTATCTTGAGCCTTTTGATTTTTTTTTGGACCATTTTAAGTTTTAAGATATATGAAATTGAATCGAATTGTATATTGTGTGCTTGCACTTTTACTAAAATGGATCAGTTTATCAGTCAGTGTTAACTGGTTGATCGTTGGCTATTACATAATATTTGTGACATTTTTCATAACAAGATGACTCCAATCTAATCAAGTAATCTTAAAGGTACAAGTATGCACAGTTACTGCTGCTGCTGTTTTTCGAAACTTTTGCCTTAAAGTTCTATGACATTTACAAAATTACTCTAACTCTCCGTTTTGATTATAAACAGGTGCAGACCCTATGTTACCTGACTGACAACACGTATGACAAGGAACAGGTACTGAGGATGGAGAGACAGATCCTCAAAACTATCGACTTTGACCTCAATATTGTGGATGTCACGGTTTTCATGGATAAAATCCTTCTGATTGAGAGTGACCTGCCAAAAGAGGTATGGCACTGTATTCAGGGAAAGATGAGGTTTGTTGGGTTTATATTTATCAAGCTCAGACTTTGGAATGCAAGAAACACTCAGCACTTCTTGAACCACAAAATCAAATTCCACAAACAAATAAATTTTTCCTCAAGCCATTTCAAATTTTGACCCAATGTAGAATAAGACATTTTACAGTGAGGCATTAGAAATTGCAATACTTCCTTTTGTCATATTTACTGTGACATCCCTGATATAGTATATATGTAGCATTTCATTACTTTTTCCATATTTACTGAGAAACATACTGATTAGACAGAGATATTGTCTAACATAGTATACAGCATAGCATTATATGATTTCCTTTTGCTGTTCCCTAGATGAGACAGATGACCAAGTATGTCCTTGACCTGACCTTAGTCTCTGATGAGTTTGTTTACAGTGTCCCCTCCATGATGGCATCAGCAGCTATCTGTGTGGCCAGGAAGATCCTGATCCCGGATCAACCCAGTTGGACCCTGGGTCTGTCCTATTTCTCCAGGTACGCTGAGAAGGACCTTGTCCCCTGTATGAAGAAGATGTTGAGTCTATTGATAAAGGCTCCAGACTGCAAATTTCAGGTGAGCCAGAAGGATTTTAGCTTTCAAAACAGTCATTCAATTTAAAATTGAATGTAGAGGTGTATATCTCTTTCCTTTGTAATCTTGTTTTTGAGACATCTATAAAGATAAGAACTATAAATTATTCACTTTTGTGGGATTATGTTTTCTCTGATTGAACTATGTAATATATACTGAAAGGAAAAAGAAACACAGGGTAGCATAATTTTCAATAAAAATTTGACCACATGACCAAAAATTACGAAAATTGGTCAGAAGGGAAATTTAGTTACTGTGCATCAAAATCAGTATTCAGAATTACTCAACCGTAAAATATATGACGTCACGTAGGGAAAACGCTAAAAAGCCCAAAACACGTGCAATTTGATAACAACAAGTTTGTCAACAAATCTTGTTGCATTATTTGATGCATATGAGGTATGCACATCGTTTTTCAATATTAAGAGACATTATGAATTTATTGCAATCTTGGAACAGTTTATGGAAGTCAGTGCCTGGGAAGGACAAGTAACTGATAGGGCCAATGGCCCGCCTCTTCATAAAATGATGGGGCCATTTTGAAACTTATGGGGCCGAAAGAGAATACAATGGGCCATTTTTAAAATTGTCATATTATGAACTTATTCTGTTAGTGCTATGATTTTTCATACATCTCAGACAATAAAATTTATGCAATTAAAACAAAACAAAAAAAATTATTGGATTGCTTTACGTGGAAGTGAAAGCTTCATTTTCTTTGCCCAGGGTTTCAGATTGAAATAAGTAATTACAGGACATCTGGCATATTTACCAGAAAAGTTATAGGCCATTCTGTCCTAAACTTCCTAAAATTATAGGCAAATAGAAAAGTTAAACAAGCTCAGATTTCTGTCCGACTTTTACAAAATAGTCATTTAATTACACAAAATATACAAATATGTATATTAATTTTTCTTTTAATAAGGTGGAAATATTATTTTTTTTCTTTTAAAAAAAAATCAATATATTGAAACAGAATGGGATTTTTTTTAAATTTCATTCAATGGGTATTTTACTTATATTAGTCCCACCTTTCATTAAATGGACATGTATTTATTTCTTGGGATTACAAGTTTTAAAAATAGTAACCCAGAAATAAGACTTGTATCTCTCTTTATATGTATAATTACGTTTACAGATTACCTAGACTATTTTGTTTCCCTTAGTAAAACCTTGCAACATTGTACGTTTCCTGCTATTAGTCTGACCCCATATTCAATCATGGCGGTAAAAATATCAACATGGCATGGATTCCTTTGATGTTTTAAACATTAATCATTACTTTTATGCTCCGTACGTTTGGGTTTGGAAATAAAATTATAGAGTATTTTGTCAAGATCTATTTATACCCAAATATCACTGGATAATTGAATCGGCAGTTTCAGAAAGTAGAGAAAATCGGATCTGAATTGGGGAAAAATTATACGACTGGTCTTTACATAGAGAAGTTAATCGTTTTTGGGGATGCGCCTCATGGCGCAGCGCACCATTATTACATTGCGCCATTTTTCGGCAGTATGCGCATATGGCGCATGGCGCGGCCCCTTCCCAGGCCCTGGGAAGTTCAATGGGGTCTTGTTTTCGAATTGCCTAATTAATGAAAAAGGCAACAACGGTTTACTAAGTTGTCTCTTGTAAATTTTCCCCCATAAAACATTTTACCCGTTGTCAGAGAGGGTCTGGAGTGGTTTTCAATCAACCGTGACTATGACGATAACGCGAAACAGAGCCATGTTACGAGCGGATTATTCGTCCTGCCATCTCTTAAATCGCCACCTTACTACCACAAAAACAGCCACTTATAGAGTAGACGATTATAATCATTACATTCATACGAAATTTGAAAGAAAACAATTCCGCAATTTGGCTTTTTGAGCCAGTCAACTTACTGTTGTATCACTGGCGCATGCGCGCGCCGTTTGACTTATTTTTTTGTATGGTTACCCATGCTAAATATAGCCAGGGTTTGAAAGATAAACACTCTGATGAAATACCATGCAAAGGAGAAATAAGACTATGACAGATGCACGAGATAGACACTGAAGATAATGAGAGTTTTCGATTTTCACTTTAGGAGGGTATCGTCATTTGAGCTTCAATAACTCATGAATAATTAGACAAAATCATATGTGAATTTGGTTATATCTTTTTGAAAGGTGATTTTAAAAGTTAGATAGGAAAACTAACAAGTATTTTAAGGAAAACAAATTTAATTAACCTCAAAAGTTTACCCTGCGTTTCTTTTTCCTTTCAGTATATATTATACAGTAAAACTCAGTTTCAGCAAAGTCACTGGTACCTTTGAAATTACTTTTCTATATCCATAATTTGTTATATATATATATAAGGAATTCATTAAATTCATATAGCTGGGGATCCAAGTAAACTTCCCTATATCCATGAATTCCCAATATCCGTGTTCGTACTTAACGTGTTTTACTGTATATACGTGTACATATGAAATTATTAATTTGTTGGTTTCTTCAAACATTGCGAGCAGTGAATTAAAAAAATTAAACCCCTTCAGATGACCACCTGCAGCTGGTAAAAGGATATAAATTTTGATTTCAAATCACTTTGTTTTGCAGGGAGCCCAAGTGAAGTACTCAAGTGAATCATGCTGTAGGATCAGCCAACACCCAAATCTAAAGACCCACCTAGAAGATATACTTCAGGAACTGACTGAGAAGGAGGAAAGTTAGATCGGGTCATAGTATTATCTAGTGGGTCAGGAGTCATGCCTTACAATGTCTAGTGGGTCAGGTGTCAGGTCTAACAATGTATAGTGGATCAAGGATCATGTGTGACAATTTCTTGTGGGTCAGGAGTCAGGTCAAACAATGTGTAGTAGGTCAATGGTCAGGTCTATCAATGTTTAATAGGTCAAGGGTCAGGTGTCACAATGTGTAACAGGTCAAGGGTCAGGTGTTAAAATTTCTAGTTGGTCAGAGGTCAAGTCAAACAATGCATAGTGGGTAAGGATCGTGTATTACAATTTCTAATGGATCAGGAGTAAGGTCCAACAATGTGTAGTAGGTCAAGGATCATGTGTTGCAATTTCTAGTGGGTCAGGGGTCAGGTCTAACAATATCTAATGGGTCAGGTGTTACAATTTTTAGTGGGTCAGGGGTCATGTCTATAGTGGGTCAAGGGTCAGGTGTTGAATTTCTAATGGATCAGTGGTCTGGTCTATCAATCTCTAGTGTTTCAAGATGTTACAATTTCTAGGGGGTCAGGGGTCAGGTTTGACATTGTCTAATGGGTCAAGAGTCAGGTCAAACAATGTGTAGTAGGTCAAGTGTAACAACTTCTAGTGGGTCAAGGTCAAAGGACAATATCTAGTGGGTCAGGGCTGGCAACCTCCCTAGCAAAAATACCTGAAGCAGTAGGAGAGACAACAAGCAACTTATTTAGAGGTTAAGTAATGCATAATAATTTTTCAGCTCTGAAAAGAAAAAAAACAGCAAAGAGAATGAAATACTTACAAAATATATTTCAGGTTTAAAGTTGAAGTCATAACCATGTCCAGTGAATAAATTTGTAGAGTTTAATATATCTAAAGAATCTTTAATTGTTCTGATAATGAATATCATGTTATTCTGTAAAGGTTAAAAACTTATGAATTTGTTGTTGCATGGATGCAGTGTAAGAAGTTTTGTTGCAAAGATCTCAAATGCTTTGTGATGTGAATGTAAATTGATGTATTTTTATACAAATGATTGAATGCATTATACATATTGTGAGCCCTTTTGCTCTGATCACTGTTTTGATGTGTTTATATGCACTTACTTTTTTCTACATTTGTTTACCATGGGTTTTAGGGGAGGGGATTTTTTTTTTGTAAACTTTTTTTCATTTGTATTGAATTTTTTGATATACAATATACATATGTTAAAAAAAAATAAATTAACTTTCACAATAAAAAGTTTTCTTTAAAATACTGTAAACCAACTTTTATTCGCGTGCTAGAAATTTTCGCGAAAGCCTCGTAATTGCGAATATTTCTCACTGTGAACCGGTCCTTAAAGTCTCTGTGTCAATGAAATACAGATTTTAAAAAAGCTTAATCGCGAAAATTAATAGTCACAAAGGAGTTTACCCCTGGTAAATCTCAAAATAAGGTCGTTGTGAATAAAAGTTGGTTTACAGTACAATCTTTGTTACATAGTGTTTTGAGTCAATCCTTTGAAGGTGTGTCAGTATAAAACTACACATTATGTATAAAGGTTTAAGCACATGGAGAGAATCAAACATTGCTTTGCATGATCAGTAGACCGTTTCACAGTAACTGCGGTTACTGTTCTTTTGCAGGGCAAAATGATATAGTTTGGTGAAATATGATGTAAAAGTAATTGTTAAATATATGTCGTTTAATTATCTCTCAACAAAAACTTCGCCAAAAGTTATTATTTTGCCCTGCAAAAGAGTAGTACCGCATTTACCGTGAAAAGGCTAATTATCATTTCAGCAGTATATACATGTATCCATTAAAAAAATTGATATAGTCTTAATTTGCTTACATAAGTGATAGAACATATTCAGAATACATAGAACTTTCAGAATAATTTTTTCATGTAGTTGGGGTGGAATTTAAGGTAATAGTTTCCTTAATTTAGTGTACAAGGGAAATCTAAAAATCCTGGGAGGTTAATGGCTTATGTCATGATCTCTCTCTCTCTTTTTCTCTCTCTCTCTGATATTTATTTAGGTGACTGTGCATGGAAAAAATGTTCTCTCTCTCTCTCTCTTTTATTTAAATCTGTGCATGGAAAAATATGCTTTAAAGAACAAGATAAGTTCATTAGAGTAATTTTAAAATTATTTAAAACCAATGCTCCTTTTCTGAACATAAAAAATGTCAGAAATTATGGATTTTAATTACTACATATATACACAACCGCAAGAGGCAGATAATATAATGAAATTAGTCTCGATCTTTTAAAAGCAATAATAAGAGAAGTCCATGTACATGCAAAACTATAATTACATGTATGCATCTGGGATATCCTCATCGTCGGAAACCCATGGGTGATCTCGTCTTTACTATTATCACCCGTGGGTTTCCGACAATGGGATATCCTATATCATACTGCTAATGTGAAGAAAATCTAGATATGGATATACTACTCATGCTACTAGACCTTACAGCTGAAAAAAATGTATCATTAAAAAAAAAAATAATACTGAAATGTTGTTCACAGAAGATGTATGTCTGAATCAGTAAGTCACTGAATAAGAATGCAATTTAGTATGGAGTTATCTCCCTTGAAACGCATTTTTATTTTCATTCCTCGAACCCTGTTTTTAAGAAAACTAACATCCTCTTTTCTTGTGATAATGAATCAGTGTTTATAAAGAGATAGTATGAAAAATTGTCATCGATATTCTAACCAATTTTCACATTAATACTTAAATTCCGAATTAATTGTATCCGTTACGGAAGGGTTTAACGTTTAGGTGATCTTTTCAACATCCTGAGTAGAGGCATGGCTGGAAAACTTGACAATGCCAATCCACTGATTTTTGAACAGAGTAAAGAGAGACAGGTGATACCTGAAGAGGAAGACGATGATGTAGCTGATAGAATAGACGACAGAGAAGTTTTTGGTAGAGGAGAATCACATAAATTTTAATTTTTTTTTTACAGAACTTTAAGTCAAGACTAATCAGTCTAGACGAACTCCTAAAACGGCGTTAACGGAAGTGAGAATTTCAGTCCAGAAAAGACTCCAAAAAAAGAGTCCAACGCATGCGCAGTTATATAAAAAACGGTGAAAAATCGTGAAAAGTGGGCTCTTATAAAAAGTGTTTTTGCAAAAAATTGGATTACCTTACAATAATGTAAGTTCTCAGAAATGATTAATAATAAATGGTTTTAGAGAACGTATTTGTTAGAATTTTGATTTCATGTGCAAATAGTTTTTAATTTCAAGTCAAAGTTGACCAACTTCGAGGAGCCAGACATCGTACAAGTAGGATACAAAATACAAATTAAACAGTCGTAATCTTATGAAAACATCTCTGTGGTTGATGATTTGTTTGTAGTGACTAAGTTAGTCATTTTAGAACTACTTTTACTGATTTTAGATGTTTATTTTGTAAGTAAGGAACGCTGGCGAATTTTCATTTGGAATTTCCTCTGTCTTTCATGTCTATCGTGTACGAATGAATTTCAGCATGTTTAGATAAGCAATTAGCAACTGCATTGTAAATACATCTTACCAATAATAAAAAAAGTACTGAATTGATGGTTTTAATCATAAATAGAGTCGATCAGGTGACAGTTACATGAGAATCCATTCAGTTTCCACATTTCCTCCGAGGCTTTTTTGAAGAAAGTTCACGTTTCAAGTTAGATCAAATACAAAGAAAAATAAACGTTTGGGAATTAAATATATAATAAAAGGGAAAAATATGTAAAATTGAACAATGCAATATATATGTTGTAACTGTTAAACATTGACCGAATTTTTACCTATTTGTAATACGTCATATAATCCTGTATGACATCTGAATATTGAGAGCGTTAGTTATCACCATCGCTATATACCTAATGTTTTCACAAATGAATAGATATAATCATGAAAACATTTTTAGAATTATAATCTATGAGTTTAAGAACTTAAAAAAATCATTCTTTTAAAATTACGGTTAAAAAGTCTTCTCAAATCGAACCTGTTAATATCTCTGCTCCGACGCCAAAATTGTGCGGTTTTTCATAAAAAAAAAAAAACAAAAAAACAACGATATATAAGTGTCTTAGAAGTAAAATTTAAGCATCTTTATAGTAGGAATGACATAAAATTTAAATCAAGGTGACAATAAATTAAGTTAGAAAATTAATTCTTACCGATGATATATCCCAAATCACTATTATTCAAGAATACAGAGCGATAAATAAGTCAATAACCACTTAATAATTTAATGGGTACAATTATTTATTTAAAAGAAAAATTGAAATCCAGTCAGAGTTTACTAAATACAGCCATTATTAAATTTTATCCATCGTTTTTTTTTTTGCCGCAATGCATGACGGAGCCAAACTTTAAGTTCAAGACTGCTAATGCTTTTTTTAATCCATGAAAACTGGTTTTGATATAAAACAGTAGCGGATTCGGGGAGGAGGAGGCGGAAAAAAAAACCGAACATTGATTTTTTTTTTTTTACAAGTGTCATTGTATCATTTTGTTGCATTGATAAGACTCTAATAAACTCGAATCCATTGTTCTGTACAACAGTGAAATATACATCAACCCGAACCTCCACCTATGGGAGGGGGACACCCCTCCCATGTCCTCCCCCTTCGGGCCTCAACAAATAATTGATTTTCCCAAGAATATGCTTACGTCTCCATTAATTTATTTGCAAAAGCTAAAGATCATATGATCATGAAATTTTAAGAAGCGTAGATTTAGAACCTACTCTATCATATTACTTGCGCCATACGTCCACTAGCATAGTAGCAACAGATGAGGAAATAGCTATGATGATAGCACATGATTTGTATTCAAGGTTCCTAATATAATACCCATTGTCTCAGTGTTCGAAATAAGTGTCGGTCCTGCACCAACGTACAAACGGAAGGACTCTGATCATGTATATTATGACTAAATGGGTCCTTGAAATGATTTTGGGCCGATGATGATTTGCCAAGAAAGAAGGCCTACAAAAATATGTTTCTTTCCTATAACCCGAATGACACATTCAAATTGCTACCATATCTGTGCCGGTTTCAATCAGCTGATGCATTTTTTTTATAAAGAATGTTAATTGTAGCTTTGGTTGAAATGTAAATATGTCATCCTAGTCAACCTTCACATAAATATGAAGAGGCATGATCATTTTTATATCATCTAGCATTTCCTCCCCCAATTTGTTTAGCTTCATTTTCTATCGCAAGACAGCCATGTTGGGTGTCTACTGTAAATATCCCACCTGGTTACTTCAGTCCTTGGATGTTTGGCACTATTTGTTTAGGTATTTAGGGAAAGTGAAAATTAATGTTTAAAATGGACATTTTATTATGCTTCAGTATGTGAGATAGTACATTAGGCAAAAAAAAAAACAACTACAGACAGACCCTTTTTTTTTTTGAGGGGGGGGAGGGGTATTACAGGGAAAAAAAGTATCTGTTTACAGTAATATTAACATATTTTTTTGTTGTTAAAAAACATGATTTTTTTATGGATAAGGAATCGATAAACTTACAAAGATTGTCAAAGTTTATTTTCCCAAAATATTTGATGGTATTATTTTTGGGCCTATGCTGCCTTGGAAGGACTTGTGAAGACCCTTTATCAGTGGCTTAATTTGGACCCACAGAAAATAATTCGGAATTTCAAACACTGCACTGTCTGATTCATAAAATTTTTACCTTTAATGAAGTTATAAACCATGCTCCCTCATTTATTCTGAAAACTTTTCATTTCTAGATATGATAAGAACCATCAATGATCCTGAACACCCTTTAACCTTGGAGGAGCTAAATGTGGTGGAAAATGCTCGAGTCAAAGTAAGTTCTCTTGATGTCATAAAAAATGGTATTATCATAGATAACTTAGAATGTCATTTGCCTCTTTTTTTACCTATAAAGAACCAATCATGTGTAATTGCTCAGATAACCAGCAGTTAACAAAATAAATCTACTTCTGCCTTCTCATAAAGTGTTGGTGATCTGATTTATGTCGTTAGGTTAGATATTTTATGGGGAAAGGAATGACAGCATAAATGACTTTTGTTTGCATTCAGATTTGCTTTTTGTAGGTAGATGATGAAAACAGTCATGTTGGTATAGAATTTACTCCCACAATTCCACACTGCAGTATGGCTACATTGATAGGTCTGTCTATACGAGTCAAACTACTTCGATCTCTGCCACCCCGTTTTAAGGTATCAGTATTATTACAAGGAGTGAACTACAAGAAAGGGAGCATATTATGTTTGCTTTATTTATTGAGAACTAGAAAATTGGAACTAGAAAGTAGATAGATACAAGTAATCAAAATCATAGAGTCTTCTTCAAAATTTTGATAGAATTATTGTTGCCAGCACATTTTCAGACTGATACTAAAGCATGCTTTAAATGGGTTTCTGAATAACTCAGGTCACAGAGTTGTTAAACATTCCCAAATCTTGGGTTTGAATTTTGCTAGATATATAAAAAAAATTACTGTATGCAATACATTATTTTCATGAATGTGGGTTACTGTTGTTTAAAATTTATGCTAAAAAATATTTGCATAAATGACATTTCCTCAAGCAGACTGGTTCATGTAATTATGCAAAAGTAAAGTTACTATGAATTAAAAGCGATATACAGGATTAGAATTTTTTTTATTTCCCTTGCAAATGAGTTTCATTTTCTAAATGTGTGTTCAGTAAAATTTGCATATTAATGAGAAACTTTAAAATACATACTCTGTATTTATGCATTTAAAATAGGTTGATGTTTCCATTACCCCAGGAACCCATGCATCTGAAGTTGCAGGTACTCTATCTTTAATGTCAGACTTAGTCATCATGAATCATTTAATATGTCTATTATCTTGTAGTTATCAAAATAACACATTATGCTAATGCGTGTTAGCTTAAAAATATTAATTATAGCCATTTGAATGTTTTATGAGCTATTGATCTGTATCAAACTAGTTATATTTTAATGATGAAAAAACCTTTATTATTAAAAGTATCATTACTAAAAGTATTAAAGGAAGCAGTAATAGTACATGGTATGACATGATATTCAAGGTTACCATGTTTTTAAAGTACTATCTGTTGTACATATGTTTCTTTAGTTGGAATTGTCAAGAATTTTCGCCCATGGAATAATAAATTATACATTGCATGCGTACATATATTTAATATTTTCTTGTTCTAACAGTAAACAAACAGCTGGCAGACAAGGAGAGAGTGGCCGCTGCATTAGAGAACACCCATCTCCTGGAGGTTGTTAATCAGTGCTTAGCAACAAGAAAATGATGTCACAGACATGAGCACAAAATGTTTCCTTATTTAGCCTTCATTTTCAAAGACTAGAAACTGAAACTGTTTAGAAGTTATCCTTGTTTCAAGGTTAGAGACAGACTTATCTGAGTAAGAAGACTGTTTCATTTAAAATGTAAGAAAAAAAAAGTGGAATGAAAACTGTGTGTCAATCCATATTCGTTGAAAAGAGATGCTGAATAGAGCTGGCCTACTCAAAAACAAATTGGTGACATTAATCATTAGAATGTTACCTGTTTACATATTTCTTAATAATATTCTGTCAATGCAGATGTATATACATGTATATAAAATATGAAGATGTATGAATTATTTGCATATGTACAATAAAATGTACAGTTTATGTTGAAAATGCTTGGGTCATACATTTCTCAACCTGTATACGCACAATTTTGTTGCATTGTGTAATGGTATGCACAGAGAGAGATCTCGAGAGAGAGATCATTTTGCACTTTAAAGTTTTTTAATTAGAAGTCAAACACCAAAAGTAACATTTTATTCTTCTCAAAATTTGTTCTGAAGAAAGAAGCAGGTCAGATTATGCACATGAAACATGTTTAAAACAAGTCATTTCTGCTGGTAATTAGAAGCCTTAAACGAGAATTTAGTCCAGTAAAATATGTCTAATGCTTCATTCTTTTCCTACATAATTACTACACATCTTTAAAGTCTGGGAAAATTTAAGCTTAAATCAATTTTGACATAATGGATCTAGCACCAAAAAGACAGTCTAAAGTCATTTACTAGATCATATTTACATCCACTGAATATTTCCTTCTTTATTTCTTAAGAAAACCCATTGCGTTCATCACTGCATGAACTACATTATAGGCATATCACCTGTACAGATTTCTTGATCAGTGGCTATTCCATCAATGAAACGTTCAAAGACGTTCGCATCATTAACACAATAATTAATATTTTTAATCCTACTTAAAATGATAATTTAAACAGATATAAATATAAACAATAAAATGCACCAAAAAGACAGAAAAAATTTACATAACCCGCTTACGCGGGTTATGTAATAATAATAAACAAAGAAAGCATTTTATTGTTTAATTGACCTTAATGATACACATCTTCATTTTATTGGTTATACAGGTGCATATCAGTTTCATAGATGTTGCTGTAAATGGTACAAGCTAAAAAGCATGTTTATCAACACCAACCAGGTCATTCCTTAGTTAAAAGTGCAGCTGCTTAAACTTTGACTGATACAATAAAACATACAAGAAGCATTATCAATGTGCCTCTGAGACAAGACATAGACATAGAAGTACCTGAAAAGAAATATCTGCTCCAGAAACAAAATCGTGGGGCACAATGCCGAGGGTACATCAAGTAACACTACCAAATTCTGTATGTCTGCAATTTTTATTTTTAGTAAATACATGTACTGAAATCTACTCTGTAATCCATTTATTATTAGAGATTTTAAAAAAAAAACAAAATCATAAATGAAAGATCATTAAGAAAGTTTTTATTCACATATAAAACCATGAAAAGTGACAGTCTTGTAAAGATGGATCTTTTCAAAATGATGAAAAATAATGTCAACATGACAGTCCAAATTAAATGAGATATATGCTTTAAAATAATCTGATAAAATACACAACACAAAAAATGGCAAACACTGACCACTGAGTGTTTAAAAAAGATCAACATCAATTTACACTAGTACTGAAGGAGAAGGGGGCATATACTTTATAAAAAATGTATCAGTAGACAAGTAGAAAAATAAAGCATCATTGAAGAACTATAAATATGTTAATTAGGATAAAAAAGTAAGCATCATTTTCAATTCATTTTGTACATATATCTCAGATGAGTAAAAATATTAAGCATCACAGAAACCCATCACAAACAAAACAAAAAAACAACTAGTAATTCTTAGAGAAAATACAGATGATTCTATGTTATATTTACACATGCATACACTTTGTATTAGCGTGAGTTTTTTTTTTCAATATAAGGGGATCACTTTGTAAAGTTTGTCATCATTTGGCACATTGCAAATACATGTACTATATACAGTGTTAAAAATGTAAGTTAAATGCATGAACAACCAAAGGGCAACAAAGAAACAAAACTTACTGTGAAATCATTGAAATATGTGCAGGTATCAATGTTTGTGGATAAGCAAATTTTTTTAAATTTGTGGGGATGTTACTTCGTGAGTAACTCATATGTACAGTGTACAGAAGTTTCAATGAATAAATATGTTGACAAAAAAGTTGTTCATCAGATATGTAAATTTGAGGATAATTTGGATGACCCACAAAATCCATAAACATTGGTCCCTCATGAACAGGGATGAGTTCACCATATAGTAACAATCAAACCATACATAACGTAAAAACTACCCCGGTATACAAGTACAGTGAATCAAACAATTATGTACAGTACCTTGCAAAATAAGAGGATATCAAAGTCTTAAATTACTACATGTTTTATACTAGTGGAATAACTCGTTTGATGCACGGAAGGTTTGTGTTAGTATTATTCATGCTAAAAAATATATACCTTTGAGTATATATTGTGAAGTTAGATTTAGATGTATTACAATGAATAAGATTGTCAGAAGAAAAAATCCAAACCCAAACCAAACTCAAGTTACTGGTATATATCACAGATATGCTTGTTATATGTCATACAATTTTCGTACGACTGTGTCTGAACTAATATGCTAAATACACACTTCTAATAAAACTATATCAGATTTAACACCACACAACCCGAAAAACCTCAAAATATTTCAAAAGAAATGGATTAAAAAATTGTCACACTAGCTTTTGATATTAGGAAAATATACAAGATAAAAATATACTATAAGCTATAGTAAATGTTTCATAATACAGTGTATCATGATAAAAGATGCTGCTGTTAATTGCACTTAATTCCAAGATAATCCTTAAAGATCTAAATGAAAATTCTCCCTTAAAATAAATATGATGCAACATCCTCTTTACTAATGTTCTTTTCCCTACTTATGACTTCAAGAAGTAGAAATTCTCTGACTTTATTTCTGCACAAAAGAAATAAATTTATTCACCAATTGTGGAAAGATGAAGCAAAAATACATGTAAAGTACAACACATATACATTCTATACATTTATAGGTACATGTACAGCTGAACGTCAGTATCTCAAAACACTGATAACTCAAATACCATGGATATATCAAAGTCAGTTGGAAGTACCAACCCCTTAATATATAATTATTCTTTAAGTATTTGACCCTGGATATCTTGATTCCTTGGATATCTTGGAAATCTTTATTCTTGGTCCCATTTAGGTTGAGATAATGAGGTTCAACTGTGTATGTCAGTAATCAATCATCCTTATTCCAAACATCACAATAAGTTAACAAAGTTCAATGAAGACATAAAAAAGGAAATATTCATTTGTATGCATAAATCCTCATAACAAATCTGAACAAATGACTAGTGAAAGACTTTCCTGTTGCTTTCAAAGATAAAACCATCAACAAAGTGTCCGCCATCAATTGCAACATTAGCTTTCTCCATCTGCTGGGACAGGATGTAGAGACCGTGAGGAATGCTGGGAGTCTAGGGAAATCTGACTGGCATTGAGGGGTGTCCCAGAATTCAGTGGTGTCCCTGACTGCCTGGGGGTGGTGGCCTGACGTGACCCGGAGGCTCGTGAAGATCTACCAGTCAACCGACCGTCTTCTCCACCAATGTTTGATGTGGAGCTCCTGGTGTTACTCTCATCCCCAAAACTGATGAATGTGACTGGGCGATTGTCATCAATTCCCATTGGACGATTTCCTATCAAGTTGGTTCTTCCCTCACTATAAAATAAAAACAATCCGACAATGTTGGCTTTGTCCCCTATTAGTTTTGCTGTTGTAATTTATTTTCAGTACCTCATGTAGAACTATTGCTTTCACAATGCATCAATTTTTAGCTCACCTGAGCCAAGGCTCAAGTGAGCTCTTCTGATCACATTTTGTCCAGCGTCCGTCTGTCTGTCCGTCTGTCTGTCTGTCTGTCTGAAAACTTTTCACATTTTCGACTTCTTCTCAAGAACCGCTGGGCCAATTTCGACCAAACTTGCCACAAAGTATCCTTGGGTGAAGGGGATTCAAGTTTGTTCAAATAAAGGGCCTCGCCCTCATTCAAGGGGAGATAATTGAGAATTAGTGAAAAATTGGTGGTATGTTTTCAAAATCTTCTTCTCAAGAACCACTGTGCCAGGAAAGATGAAACTTATGGGGAAACATCCTCATGTAGTGTAGATTTAAGTTTGTTCAAATCATGTCCCCCGGGGGTAGGGTGGGGCCACAGTGGCCGTCCAAAGATTTACATAGAAAAATATAGGAAAATTCTTTAAAAATCTTCTTCTTAAGAACAGCAGAGCCATAATTGCTCATATTTATATGGAAGCATCCCCAGGTAGTGTAGATTCAAGTTTGTTCAAATCATGACCCTCGGGGGTAGGGCGGGCCCACAATGGCCAACCAAAGTTTTATATAGAAATATATATAGGAAAATTCTTTAAAAATCTTCCTCTCAAGAACAGCAAAGCCATAATTGATCATATTTATATGGAAGCATCCCCAGGTAGTGTAGATTCAAGTTTGTACAAATCGTGACCCCTGGGGGTAGGGCGGGGCCACAATAGCCGACCAAAGTTTTATATAGAAATATATAGGAAAACTCTTTAAAAATCTTCTTCCCAAGAATAGCAAAGCCATAATTGCTCATATTTATATGGATGCATCCCCAGGTAGTGTAGATTCAAGTTTGTTCAAATCATGACCCCCGGGGGTTTTGGATTTAAACTTTTCAATAGTAAACCAATTACTACTTTTTCCTAGCCACAATGCTCGGGTGAGCGATGTGGCCCATGGGCCTCTTGTTATAAGATTATACATGAAAACACCTCCCCCTTGTTATGTTAGTGTAGGTGTACTCACGGAATGGGTGGGAGTCCCACTTTCTTGTAGTGTCGCCATGCCTCCAGGAAGGCAGGGCTTATTTTGCTTCTCTTGGTATAGTGGAGCAGTATCCGCATCAGGTATGGGTCTGTACGACACCTAGAGAAAGAGACAACAACTTTCTAAACAAATCTCTCATGAGCAAACTCATCTAATTTATTACTACCAATTCTATTTTCATTACAGTAAAACATGGTTACAGCAAACATGCTTATAATGAATTGACATTTACAACAAAGTGATTTTCATTCCCCTGGTGACTTCAAAATATATTATAAACTTAACTGATATAATGAATTACGCTTTTATTGGTATAAGGAAGCCTAACTGTCTCTCCCTAGCACTTTGTTTTAAGCGTGCTTTACTGTATATTGCTTTAGAATTAACTAACTTATATGTGATTGTAATAATTTTGATGTGTAACATAATTTAAATTTATGAACTCTTTCTTTTTAATTCTTGAAGTACCAGTCTGTTTTGTAATTGTAATGACTTACTTGTTGAGAAGTTGACGTTCCCCATTGTGATTGTAAGACAGGTACCCCAAAGCAATGGCCGCTGATCCCCGCACCTGTTCTGCTGGGGACACCAGTAGCTTACAAAGATGTTCTATCACATTGATTGAAATCATGGCAGCTGGCACACCTAGAAATCAGATAAAGGGGGGTAGATTCATAGTTACTTTTACTTGTATAAAAAATTGAACTCTCATTTCACATCAGGTATGGGTAAACCCAAAGTCAAACACTATCAAAATTATACTAACATGAAATGATTATATTATAGTACCTGGCAGTTTTAAGAATTTTTAATATATTCAAATTTATTTTTCTCTTTAAGCAGTACTAAAAACCATTTTGTGATGTCACAAATCACACAAAGAACACACCAAGACATAGATCTCCCCTGCACACTTTAGCTTACCTGCTCTTGTGTGGGCAAGCCTAGCGATGCAGTCCGCAGCCAGTGTGAGGGTCTCACTGGAGGAGGAGTCCTGGAGGAGATCCACCAGAAGTTTGATTCCCGCGGCCGAGGACAACGCCTGCTCCTCATCAGGGATAATCCTGGCTAGGACTACCACCTAGAAAGATCACAGTCAATGAGCTCCTAGGTACATTGTATGTACAGTTAAACAGACTTCATAATGTTTAAATAGTGTGAAATGATTTTAATTCAATGACTTCAAAACATATTGTGAATTTAACGGATATAATGAATAACATTTTTAAAATGAAACAAATATCTGTTCATTGCATTTCGCCATAAGTATGTTTTTTTTTTACTGTGTTTTGGTCAAAAACTTACTGTGATAAACTAACAGACATTTCGGTGAAAGTGTACAATTTACTCTAGGAAATTGATTTAAACACTCCCAATGCTTATAATTTTATTTAGAAAATAAGCATTTATTGCTTGAATCTGCACAAGATTATGTCTATGTGTATTATATGAACAGCAATTAAAGCTTTCATTTTTATATGAATTGTAAATATTCAAAGACTATAACCTGGAAAGCTGCCAAACATCTATAATATTCATCGGGAGACTGTAAGAATGGACAGAAGCAGTTAAATCGGACTCCCCCCTGGTCCGCGATCTCCTTCTGTTGGTTTACGTTGTTATAGGCGAAGGTGGCGAGCGCGAGTCCGGCCAGAAGACGAACATCGGGGTCCATGGAGTACATCATCTTAAGGATCCGGACATAGCTAAAGTCTATATTGGAGTGGATGTCCTCTAGTATTGCCTGGTTACCTGTTATAACGCAAAAATAATTAAGTTTATATAACTTTAGAAAAAAATCAGTTCACTAAAAACATCTAAAACTTAAATTAATATTTCTTTACATGGCCTATTCAGAGGGATAATTGACATAGAAGAAAACCTGATTACTATGCTGCTCACATATTTAAATTTTATTCATTTGTAAATTACAGTGCAGCTAAAGAGGAAAACCTTAATTGATGTTCTTATCAAATATAAAAACCAAAATTCTATCTTGAATGTCATTTGAATATTGCTATTCAATATTTACCAGAATGTGTTACGTTAAATAATTTTTGATTCTTTATTTGTCATGCCAGTCATGGTCTATTGCATTGCCTTTAATCCATTAACCTATTTCCATGCCATAGATAAGTAAATGTCAAGTTATGCTTAATTTTTCAATATACAGTGTAACATTTTAAGCCTTTTTCATAACCAGATTTATATCAGATGTATTAGTGAGTCATTTAAACTTTCAAACTGCACTTCTTACAGGAACTTGGAGCAATGTCAAGTACTCTAATTCTGCCAAGATCTGCAACGATCACTTGAGTTTTTAGGATTAAACCTTCAATCGTTTTTCATAAATCATTCAGTAACACAGAGACCCTGGCTTAAAATCTGCTATTTATTTTATCTTAACCAGCATGTACAGCACAGCTTTATATTGTTAAAAGATCAGCGCTATTGTTCGCTTAATAAAAGAAGTCTTCCTGGGCCAATGGATGTTTCAATCACAGCCAAGTATTAATCCAACCCCCCTTGAATGTTTCTTTGTCATTTTGTAAAGTTTAAATCTGACAATCGATTTCTGTTTACTTGATAAATTAGCTAATCAATTTGTCCCTGCTGTATTCAATACTTATTAAAAAAGATCTCAAAGTTAGATTTAAATGACGGAACTTATTAGTACTATAACATGAGTATATTGCCAGACATAGTTGAGAGGTTATATTTATTTTATAACATAAATATTATCCATTCCACTTGCGAATTTGGAAATGAAATCTTCAGACTCATGTTTCAAATTCACACCATGTAAAACATTAATTAAGTTTCCTTGGGGGTTGTTTGAATAACGGAACCCTTTTAAGTGTCACTTTAAAAACACTTTATCATCCATTAAATCTCTCTTATAGATTGTCTTCAAAGAATTGGTAATCATTGGTGGATGTATCGCTGACATATATTATACCTTGGACTCAATTTCATCCAAGGAAAATGTTGAATCCATAACCTTAAACTTTAGCATTTACATTGTACATGTATCCCACAAACTTTTTAAGCTTTTATCTCTAGGTTCCTTTCTCGGTTGATTGTATCAATTTTTACAGAATATCTTTTTGCATGCATAATATATTATTTACATTTTTGAGTACATTGCAAAACCACACTGAGTAACACAGATTCCAAATGCTAACTAAACAAGAAGGAAAAGTTTGACACTTAAACTTTTATTTCTTCCATCTTTCTAACAGAAAGCAATTTTGGGGTACATGTATCTAGTACAAGGCACTTTAAAATTCTGACAACAGAATAAAGTTATTGGGATGTCATAATATATGAATAAGTAATTAAGCATCCACTGAAGAGGTGATATGACACATTTCCTCTGACAAAAAGCAGATCTTTTGTATTCAAAAAATTTTGATATTTATGAAAATAAAATTTGTACTTTAATTGACATGCATTACTGTAGCTAAATATCTGTAGTTCAATGGTCTGAAAAATAATTGAGAAGGATGATGGACGACCTGCTCATCCATCCCAATTTTTTTCAGACCATTGAGCTACAGATCTGCATGCAGCTATATACTGTATACAAGGGCAATTTTGCCCCTTTCACAATTATCACTGGTGGGCAAAGAACATTGGTGTAATTTCTTAAATAGAACTGTGACTGGGCAAATTTAAAATGGGCAGAATTGTTCCCATGTCCGAAAGGGTGAAAAGAACAATTGGGGCAAAAATAACCCTGTTAATACAGCATCCTTTTGTAAATAATTTTGACCTTTTAAACTTGATCTCTAACCAATTAAGTGACCTCTAACTCTTTTGCCAGCTCTGCAATGAATACGAAGCCTTATGACTCAAAATATAATTGACCATCTCATATTGGGTTCTGGGCCAGATTAGTTAGGTTTCTGCAAAAGAGTGTGGAGGAGTGCCTAGGAGAGGTACACTGTACCACCCACTCTGGGATTATCTCTCCTTTTCAGTCTAAAATTATAACAACTTGTGGACTTGGAAATATTTGATTAATTGTGAAAGGTATAAACAGTTGAGCTTGATAGCTAACATAAATTTCTCACCTAGTGAAACACATGCTAAGGTTAAGGCTGACTCCACTTGGATCATCTGGTTTCTAGAATGCACCATTAGAGCCACAATTAACTTGATCCCTCGGATGGTCATGATGGTATTTTGATTTTTCTTATGTGGCACATACCCCACTCCAACACACAAGAATCTGATGGCACGAATCACACTTAACACAATATACTCCTTTTCTGATCGTATAAGTCGACCAAGAGGAGCTATGCCATTAGCATTGGCTATGTCACTTTGATAGCTAAGTGGCCCCTGTGCTAGGACCCCAAGTCCTTCTGAACCAATAAAATTCAAGTCTTCAGACATGCTGTTGATGAATTCTACCAGTGTCCCTACATCCATGCGTTCAGCAATGAACCGTTTCACGTCAAACTCCCTCCCTGCAATGGCCCACAAGGCCAATGCAGTCTTTTCCTTCACAACCTCAGCACGAGTGGTGCCCAGCAGCTTCAGGAGGAGTTCTTGCACTTGGTCAGACAACATGTGTTTCTGTGAGTATGGATTGTTTGCTGCCATTTTACGAATACTCTCAACAGCTGTCACTTGAATGTCTTTGTTTCTGAGTCGTGTAACTGCCAGCACATGAGGAATAACACCCGCATCCACAAAACTGTTTTGGTTGACCTCGTTGTCATAGGAGATTTTACCGATTGTTCGGCAGGCAGAATTCAGGAAGTCCTTGTCTTTTTGGTCTTCCAGTAGCTGCACCATGGTCTGTACACATCCCTGCTGCTGTCCCACCAGGTCCTGGTACTTCTTTTCATGCTCTGCAATGTTACCGAGACAGTCAATAATCTGGACCAGTACCTCTGGGTTGTGAATTGTCTGCATTGCCTTGATCAGACTCTGCACCCCATTATTCTGTGATATTGCCTCAGCATAAACTTTAACTGTTGCCATTTCCTTTAGGATTTCTGCTGAGAGTTGAATAAGGTGATGGTTTGTGGACTTCAGAAGTTTGATGTAGGTAGGAACTCCCCCTGAACTCAATACTTGCTCCTTGACCTCCTCCCTTTCTATGATGTTCAGCAGAGTCTGGAAGGCAGGAATTTTTGCCTCCTCTGAGATTGTGGACTTGGCAACCTTAATTAGAATTTGAACTCCACCATGGTCATAAAATGGCTTCCAGTTTGGATTGATGCCGTCTGCTTGACTACCCTGGGTCAAAGTTCGCAGAGACTTCCCAGCAGCCTCTGCTTCTTCATCACTCTCTGATGAAACAAACCTCAACAAATTCTTCCATACTGGAATCTTTTCAAAATCTTTCTCGATAAAATAATTGAGAAGATCTATGAAGCCCTTCATAGCACATATCTCCACCGCTCCATGATTCTGAGAATCTATAGCATTGATCTTTGAGCCCAGCTCTATCATTTGATGGACGGCTTCGATTTTCCCTCCTTCCACCGCACACAAGAAAGGTGTGAGATTCTTTCCATCTGTTGTCTCCAGTTCCAGCAGGGAGGGGTCATCTTTGACAAAGAACTGGATGGATTTAAGGTAGCCCCTGTTGGCAGCCTGGTGGATCTGAGCCCACCCAGACGCGTCAAACTCATCCGCCATACTGATGGCACTGGACCTAAAATCACAGGATTATAGATATTAATACATTGTATTGTCTGGATATTTGTCAATTAAGTGTTTAACAGATTATATGACACTTTGCTCATAGAGGTACATGGTAATCTACTAACAAATGCACATCTTTTGTCTTACAAGTATGGCAATGGATATATTCAGAGGAAAAATATGAGCACATACAATAATATGTATTTTGAAGAAACTGTAATAATCATGCACAATTCGGAATCCTCACAATGAAAATGATATATATGTAAAGTTCAATTTGATACAGAGCAAAGTGATGGACAGTTTTTAAAATCTGTTGTCAGTAATTGATTTCAGTGCCAGAAAATTTACAGCTCACATTTTAAAGCAAGTAACAGCATTGTAACTTTAATTTCCCAAATGGCAAATATAAAAGGAAAAAATTGTTACAGGCATGCAGGCCATCGATTTAACTGGTAAAATGTTGGGAGATATTGACACATTTATTAAGACTAATTGGTCTGAATGAACTATGAAAAAAGATTATCAATATCTTTTATATTCTCCTGCGCATTATAAATTAATGGGTCTTTAGACTTTATTGAGCCAGAAAAGGGTTTTACATCTTGTTTACAGAAAACAATCCCATATACAAATTGCTTTTACTCAACATGAAGAGAGAATTTCACAATTAACATAATTTTTATGTATGTATTCTATTTCTGTCATGTCCGACACTTCAAGAGGTGTCAATTACAGTGTTAGAAAGCAGAAAATCAATACCAACAGATTGAATTGAAAACTGATCTAAAACTAATATTCATAAACCTTATACAGAGTATTAAGACTACATGTACTAGGTTTCTTCTGTCTAAATCAGCTGATTCTGTAGATCTGAGTAATGGTGTATATTTCTACATATCAACACCATGGTACATGTACATTGTACTCATAATGAATATAAAATCACCTAAGCCACAGTATACAGATACAGTGATAACAATATGTTACTGTATAGTGTATACATGTAAATATATATAAGGAAACATTGAAATTGACATGGACATCTAACCATAATTCCAAATCACAAACAAAAGCTCCATATACACGTAAGCTAGTAATTTATCAAACACATTGAATTGTAATTGTTAGTTCTCTATATTTATAGCTTATATTGTCTGTAGAAAAATTCCTCTGTATACATGTGTTTTGGAAGGGGACTATCTGACAAATGAAAGGAAATTAATGCTTTCATTTCTACAAGTATGTAGTGATATATATTAAGCTAGATTTTCAGAATGACTTATTTGCATTGCCAAGTGTTTTAAATTATGGGAAGGGATTATCTAAAATTCTTTTTTTTATATATTAGGTGATTATATACATGTATCTTTAACTGTTTGTTAAATGTTACAATTTTACTTTGAAGAATGTGTCTGAGATTGTATCCAAATCCATGCATGAAACAAAACATTGGAAGTGGAGAAAAACAGTGACTGCATCTTTGCTTAAACCAAGTATTTCTGATCTGTTCCAATCCTCACAAAAATAGGACCCTTTGATAGCATGATAGGCTTATTGTTATTGTGAGGACTAGGCCTATAGCAGATTAGAAACTCTTGGCTAGTGAAGATATGGTAGAATGAAAATCAGTGCTACCCACCAGCATTTGTACTGTGCAGCAAATGCTGTGTTCTGACTGATTCATTTTCATTGTTTATTTTTTCTGTGTGTCTATACTTCTTTGAAATTATTTTAAACTTTAAAGATATGGATTCCTCTTGATTTGAAAAAAAAACCTTTTCATTAAAAATGAGAGCATGTTTTGGTAGGAAATTCATATGAAATTGTGGACATGCTTGTTCACATGAAATGCACCAGGCAACACCACAATGTATGAAGCAAATATTTGCGTCCATTTAAAATACACCAATAACCACATATTTTATTATTATAAATTTAAAGCTTCTTATAAACACAGTGACCATGTATGTTAGAAATCATCACTGTATACAAATTAATGACCTAAAATGAAGCACACCGGCCCCTGTATATGCGGTGTATATATTAAATATTGTTTTTCGTTAATAAGTTGATCGACCTTTAATAAAACTTTTAAATGAATGCATTATTTTTTGTTCAGTAATCACTGTAATAAAATTTTGAATTTAAATATAGTAATGAACAATAATTTTGCAATACATGTATTGATGAACTGAGGACCAGTTTTCTTTGAGGGAGGGTTATTAATGGTACTTTACAAAATATATTTTAAAATCATCACTCAGTCCTGTAAAACACTAATATACCAGAATATAAGCCAATGTAATCTAAAATTCATTCTTTAGTCTCCCATTAAAATTAAATTATTATGTGATATATAGATCGAAGCAACAGTCAGAACACTGATATATACTCCAAAATCTGTGATATGTATGTTCATAAAGACAATGCACAGTGATTTCATGGAATGTCAGGATGTGCAATCATATTCTTGTCTAACTGTACACTCATTCTTTTGGGGGGGGGGGATTCTTATCATTTAAATACGGTTACAATTGAAATCAGTGTGCATTTTCTAGAATCCATCCATTTGGCTAATAAATATTTGCAAAACTGCACAATCTATATATCAAAGCTTTTTTATAATTTACTTTATGCCAGACCGACTTGCCATCCTTACTAAACTTGTAACTCTGAAAAAATATCATAAATAAAAAAAAAAAGAAGGTATTTGCGTTAAAATTGTAATGTGATGCATACTATAATGTCATATTAATTAATATTTAGTTAAATCTGTCTGATAAAATGGTACGGAATAAAATGATGTGCCTTTCAACAGTCATTGTTAATTGCGAAAATGGGTCATAAATTAAAATGACAAGACAACATTTATGACATTCTGAAACGCATAAAACATTTCATTGCATTGAACTTTAAACTTTATAAAATGGTTTAAAAGACTAGCATTTTGCCTAATGTTACAAACCAATTTTAAATGATAAGACTACAAGAAGAAAGGAAGCTATACCTTGCTAACTATGTTTACTTTCCAGCATCATTCAGAGACAATATTTACATCCACTTCCACTGCCCGAGTTTTCTAACCCTGGTCGTGATTGGTTGCTAAGCGCGCACCTGCAAAGAGCTTATCAAGGAGAGTAACTCTGTAAAAATCTTGAAGTACGCTTAGATTTCGTATAAAAAAATTAGTATAGAATATAAAATGTGACCTTAGATCATTGAAATTATAAACTGGTTATCTTTTTAAAGATAAAAAATAATAATATTGCTTTTAATATTGTTTGAGAAAAAAAATTCATACGTTCCGTATTTAATTTCAGTTTGGTTCTTCATTTAGCGTCCTACAATCATTTCCTACAATAGCTGAGCATGTGAGATTTTTCTGCAACTTTTGATTCTACTTTGACTTTATATGCAAGGTAATATCCTCTATCCCTGCAAGTTCCTTGATAAAACATCTTACTTTGATTATCTGAATGATATAACTAACAACATAATTTTGCAACTTTTAATGCTTATTTGATGTATTCATGATTTTTTTTTTCAGTGTACACTAGCTGCATGATCCTACTATAGCTGCAGAACTGAAGTTTTATGGTTTTAGTTATTTAGACTTTGACCATAACGCTACATATCCCGTAATTCAGAAAATGTGCAATTTACGGTGCAAGATTTTTTGCATACCGTTGTGAAGAATTTCTCCACTTTCCTGCATCGGTCAATCAATTACCTAGCTCTCATTCCCTAGTTCTGGACGTATTATTTAACCAATCTGTATATTTTATCCACCTCCCAACCCTTATAGTCGTCTCTACAGGGGATAAACTAGCTTTATTTGAATTGTCTGTTGGATTGCAGAAAATTCAAATCAAGCAAGTTTATTGATTGCATGTAGAGACAACTAAAATGGGTTGAGAGCAGGCTTGGGGTAATGCTAATTGTAATGGTAATGCATTGCAATGCATTACATAAACTCAAAGTAATGCTTGTAATGCTAGTAATGTGTAATGCCTAAAAATTTGCATTACATGTAATGGTAATGTAATGCATTACTTCATAAAATCCAGTCAGAGACATATAAAACCATATATATGTCTCTGATCCAGTGTAATGCTGGCATTACATAGCATTACAAAGCATGATTTTGTATGTTCCTATTTTAAGAAATTAAAATGGACATGGAAATCATTGTTCGGATTATTTTTATTTACAATGTATATATTTATTTATTTTATTTTATTTTTTTTTTTGCAAATGATAAAATTTAATTTAAAAATTTAACCTTTTAAAATAAAATTTCTGTATCTATTTATTAAAATACACTTTTTATTCTGTTGAAAGTTCACTTACCTTACATTTAAGTTTTCAAACTTATTTTAGATAAGACTTGATTTCAAAGAATTATATAAAATAGTCTTTAAAATATATCTTTAAAAACATTGTGTATAAGGTATTCTAATTAATTCACTGAAAAGTGATAATTGCCACCTTTTGAATAGCTAGAGTGTCATCAAAACACTCTATGCCTCTAGGTTATGTAACAATTAAAACAATGCATTGTTTGGAGAAGTACTCCATATTACAAGTCTCTTTCTTCTCAAGTTATGACTGGGTTTATAAAACGTTAATTGAGCTAGCCTTCTTGAACTGACCATGAAAAATCCATTGTACCAAAGAAAATAGAAGACTTGCAAGCATTCTATGCTTAGCAGAGTAAAATGTACATACTGTCTACAGCGTGTCAATTTACCCAAATGGAACCCAAATGGAAACAAATGGAAACACAAATGGAAATCAAATGGAATATCAAATATGTATTATCGTGTTTTATTACTTATTTAAAATGATGAAAATAAATGAACTTACAGTTACAAATGGAGTTTTATATTTATTATTAATCTCTAATATTGTATTTTGGGACATGAATTTTTGAAAGCATTCTATATACCGGCAAAATTATTGGGATGGGAAGGGGTGGGGGGGGGGGGGGGGGGGGGGGGGGTGGTATGGCCTTCCCCCCTCCCCCACCTCCGCTCCTACGGCCATAGAAACTATCAAATACTTCAGTTTTGTATTCAATTAGGTTCAATCGTAATAACAAATAGAATTAAATCGCATTTTAAAAAATACAATTGAAGAAAATAATGATATTGAAATATTCTCTTTTTGTTAACATGGTTAATTTAATTATTATCTATATTTTAAATAAGTAAAAACTTGAGAATACGATATAATATATATATTTTATATTCCATTTGTGTCCATTTGGGTAAATCGACGCACCCTACTGTCTACCTTTCTACAAGTTATTTTTTTTTTATAAGGTACTAGATCAAAATAGAGTGAATATTTTGGGCAGGGGTTAAGGAGTGCCCCAAAAGTAAAATTGCTTTATGACATCAATGATTAAACAAAAAGTGAATATTATACATGTTTTATATTATTAACAGTTTAAAAGTTTGAACTTTCTAATATGAATTTTAGTTGCTAGTATTGACGGTGTATTACATAAGGTACTTGAAGTAAAATGTGAATTACCAGGTATCATTAATCATGTTTAGTTTTGAAGGGGGTGGATGCATGCTTATGAAAAAAAAGTTTTGTATAAATTTCTATTTTTTAAAAACCTCCAAAAGTAATGTTAATGGTAATGCATTACTTTACTAAAGTAATGGTAATGTAATGCATTACTTTAAGAAAATAGAGTAATGGTAATGGTAATTTAATGCCCATATTGTTGAAGTAATGCATTACTTTACAATGTAATTCGCCCCAAGCCTGGTTGTGAGGTGGATAAAATATACAGATTGGTTAAAAAATACATCCAGAACAAGAGAATGAAAGGCAATTGATTGACCAATGCAGGAAAATGTAAAAATTTTCCCCAACAGCATGCAAATAATTGTGCCGTAAATTGCACATTTTTTGCATAAGGGGGATCCGTAGTTTTGTGGTCAAAGACTAGTATCTAAAACCATAATGCTACAGTTCTGCAGCTAAAAAAAAAAGAAAAGATATATTTTTTTAAAAAGTTTTTTTTCAAAATGTTTCATCAAAATACACATGCCTTTTATTTTTTAAACTAAAGAAGGAAATTTAAAATGTCAAAAGGCAATTCATGTTTTTAATTGTTGAACTGCTTACAGAATATGGAAAAGTAGTGAGATATATGAATTTCTTCATTTCAAACTAGGGCCAAAATGTACGTTCCTCTCCCATTCTGGCTGTGGTTGAATGAGAAGAGAATATTTTGTACTTCATTAAAATATTGACCAATGCGAGTCAAGCATAGTCGGAATATGAACTTTGTCACAACCTTTCAATACCCATTCGCAGTTTACGAAAAAATTTTGTGTACTGATGATGTCATTTGTTGATTTCAATTGGGATGGAAACAAATATTATCATTGGCTGAAGATGACATCACAATAGAGAGGTGTACAGTGGACCCTCATTTATCCGGACGCTTTGGTTCCCAGTCAATTTGTCCGGATATGTGAAGCATCCGGATATCTGAATCACCAGTCAAACAAGACAATAAAAAATTTAAAAATTTCGTTCCGATGAAAAATCATCCGGATACTGAAGCATCCGGATATCTGGCGTCCGGATATCTGAAGGTCCACTGTAAATACTTAAGATTACGACACTTTTTGTGATCAAGCAGCCACGGGTAGGAGAGAGCTATATGGGGACTCCAGACTGTGGATTGAGATGATGTATAAATGCTTATTTTTACCATAAACTTAACATGTTGTAGAAAGCCACTTCTTTAGGAGTGAAACGGTTCACAGGGGTATCGATTCACCACAGTATTTTTTTATCTGTTTGATACACAGTACAAAATCTCTGTTTTAGGTTTGGTTCGTTTTTCAGTTTTGATCATCATTCATTCAGGTTTGGTATAAGATAGAAACATGTTACTCGGTATAATTAGTACAAAAAATGTAAATTTTTGTGGACTGATAGTTTGTAAAAAAAATTTAACGGTTAAATCAATTAAACTGATTTCTTCTGGTCATTTTGCACATAAATTATATGACTAAATTAAGTTAAAGGAAACATAAAACAATGGTTAAATTTGTTTCCTTCTATCAAACTGAATTGTATTGAAAATAACTGTATCTAGACAAAATTTTACGATACGTATCGATCGTACCGTGAAGGATGCATATCAATTCACCTCTACTGCTCTCTACTACTATAACCTAGAATCATTCTGAATCTAACCCATACTTTATATTATGATGTTTTACATAATTTAAGAGTGGGGGACTGAGTCGGAGGAATCTTAGATTATATTAATATATGATCCTAGAATCAATTTTAAGCTGAATTTTTTATCATGATAATCATTTTACACTCATCCTTAGATTTTCACCATCATGGTTCTGTGTCCAGGATTTCAAAAGAATGGCCGTCCTTGTACAAATATTCTGGAACAGAAAAGTAAATTTTGCAAGCTTTGTGGATGGAAGATAGACCCTGATATATTTCTGAAGGAGGCTATATCTTGTCCCAATGTACCACTGAACAGTGAAGAGAAATGTGGAACTTGGATAGAGAGAGACCAAATGTTCTGTGACCAGTGTGGATGGGAAGTTAATCACGATTTCTTCCCCAGAAAACACAGTAAAGATGATAGAGATATGTCTGGGGATAGTTACAGGAATCTTAAGATTCAGATGAAGAGTCTTACATTGAAACAAGAACAAGAGGCATGTGGTACACAGCTGAGACACTCCTCTGACCATCAGAATGATAGATGTAAGTACAGTGGACCTTCAGATATCCGGACGCCAGATATCCGGACGCTTCACCTTCCGGACGATTTTTCTCGGGAACGGATTTTTTCAACGTAATTTTGACTCATTTATCCGGAATTCCGCGTTCCGTATCCGGACGGCTCTTTTTTACTACAAAATGTATTTTTACGTTATAAATTGGTTCATTTATCCGGACGGTAAATTTTAATTTGTACTTCCATTCTTGTCAATATTCACGCCTGAACTGAGTGATAATTGTTATAAAAACACTGGCCGGATTGATTGTTTTTACAATACGATCACCTGTGACCTGATATGAATGACTTACGATGATTAGTGCACAGATTAAGCATGTTAAGTAAGTGGATATCCATGGTCATAATATACGAGAGATCGAAACACAAATGAAAATAAACAATTAACTGTGTCTGTAACAGAAAACAATTTTCTATTCAGTTATTTGTGCGAGATATTTATAATTTTAGTACTGATCTGGTTTTAAATATTTTTCTATTGATAGACAGGACGACATAGTTTCATAATCTCGTAGTCTACACATGTGCACACACAAATCGGTATATTGTAATTTTCATCTGTAGATTGGTGGCAGTTATCATCGAAAAAAAAAGTAAAACATTTAATAAAATAAAATAATTTTAGACAATCAATGAATTACTGCGTGAATTTTTATTATGTCAGATTTAGCGTGGATGAGTGTTCAAATTAAAATAAGACTCGATACTGACAGCTCGCTTGGGTGTAAATGAGAGAATTTGCTTGGTTATGTTCATCAATTTATAGGAAGTAGAAAGTAAAAACTAAGCTGGGTAATGAAAAATCTGCCCATATAAGCAGCGTTATATATATCCAATGTTTGTCATTCTGCTGAGCGCTACAACCATGTCTACACCACCGGCAAAGAGAGCGCGAGTCGGCATTTCGTTTATAGCAAGAAAAAAATTTATTATATTTGAAAAAAAGTATAAAAGTAATGCTGATTTATACTAAAGATATAGTGTTTAAAAAATAATTATTATTTCTATATGATAGCATTTATCATTCTTTATATGTAAGAGTTACAATGCCAATACAGTATACATGTACCTGGAAGAGAAATCAATAGAATTCAGATATCCGGACGCTTCACTTATCCGGACAATTTGCCTGGGAACCAAAGCGTCCGGATAAATGAGGCGCCACTGTATAAAGTATACACACATTTTTATCATAGTTTTCTTTATGAAAATCAATGAAAAGAAATTAAACCTTCTCTTCTTTAATGATGTGTATATTTATCTCATTAGTGTTTTTTTCCCAGTGTTTTTATTTATAAGGAGCTTTATAAATAAAGAAACGATTTGTTATTGTGATAAAATGCTTGCCAGTACATGTATAGTGAAGTACATGTATATTTTATTTGCATTTGAGATGACAAAAATTTTATGATGTTGTGTCATGTGGTATTTTCTTTTACATAAGATTTCTGGGTAAATCCTTTTACAGATATGAACCATGTGGATGGCCCTGACACTCCGAGTTCTTCCTCCCAATCACCATCCTCTGTCTCCCCCAGGGAAACCAGAGAGACAAAGACAGGGAAGGTCCTGTTTATCCACAATTTAAATGAAGAGGTAACATTTCCCTAAACATACAAGTGTCTCAATCAGACCAAGATCTTACATTTTCTTATATTTTTGAAAAAAGCCACAGTCAAATCTTGTTATTTTGAAATTAGTAGTGCCAAGAAATCGAGATAGCAGCAGATTCAAGATATACTGTATCAAGGTTTAAATATACGAGGGTTGATCCAAAAGTTCATGGAATTTCTTAATATTTCATTCATTTATAAGTGAAATTGGTTGAAAATTACAAATGAGAATAAAGACACTTGTTGAATATTTTAGATTAAAAAATGTTTTAAATATTTGTGATAGTAACTATATGGCAGTTGCCATAGAAACGGATGTTTGGAAATGCGGGGGAGACATCAATGCGTTTATTATCATTTTAATTCTAATACTTGTACATAATGAGAATTAAACCGATCTTCGTGTTTTAGAAAACGAAAATTATGTCATTATTACGATTGCTTGATCTTTTCTAAACATTTGTGTGTGTATTTTACTGATTTTACTGGATATTTAGTTTATTAGTTAATAATTATTGTTCATCTTAAGGTTGTTAGACGACGTCAAATTTCGGTCAAGTCATAAGTTTTGTGAAAATCCCGGGATCACTCTATCTTAAATGCGTATATTATTGACATAGACTGAGGAAAAATGCATTTAGCCACTGGTTTTCCAGTGGCGTAAGAAAATGAAGAAAAATAGAACCTTCATGGACGTTGACTAAAGGTGTGGCCGCCTTTTTGAGGCTGTGTTTTAAGTGTTGTCCCCCTTGATAAATTGAAAGCGTTAATAGACGTTGTCGGCTGACGTACTGTTCTTGACATTGCTACTGAAATCGGAACATCACAGCAGGCTTTTCTTGAGAAAAAAATGGAGAAAAGGGCAGCATTTTGAAGAATTACGTGTTCGAATTTGACATTAGGGTAGGATGATTCTATGGCGTGACGTGACATACCTAATTTGACGTTACGTCGAAGTCTCCCCCGGGTTTCACAACCATCCATTTTCAGAAAGCTCTTGTGACCTTATTGGTAATTGGAACGTAGTGAAATTTTCCAATATTGTTGCATTATGACTCTATTTTATGAATATGCCTATTGTTTGCTTTTGTCAAATCATGATAAAATTTTAGAAAGAAATTCCACGAACTTTTGGATCAACCCTCGTAAATGTTATTATAGACTCTTATTGCTAATCATGGTTTGATATTGAATGTCTGTTTTTTACCTTTACGTACACGCCTAATTTTTCTTTTTCAGAAAGTGACTACAGATGGTCTGTTTAATCTGTTTAGTAAGTATGGTCATTCAACATTTCTAAACAATCTGAATCTCCTGTGAGGATTTATCTAATTAATATTCTTATCATTACTTAATCTTATGATGATATTTAAAATTGAGCTAATTTAAATTTATACATATATGCATTGAAGAGATATAATTGTTTTTCATGAAGCTATATGTATTTAAGCAGATGTTTTCACTTTCACTGGGTAATAAATTGTATGAAAATGTAGAAGCTAGAAAATTATTGATACTGAAACAAAAATCAAATTTAAATCCCATGTTTTCCCCCAAATTAACCAATATAAACCATACAATTGGCAAGTTAACACTCAGGAACTAAGCCCTGACTGAGTATATGTAAAAAAAAAAAAAATAAAAAAATAAAAGAAAGGAAGAACAGAAAAGGATACTTTGACCATACCCATACATGTAATTTGGTGCAAATAAATTGAAGTGCGGTCTGCCAAATAAATTTTCTGTGGAAAATTCTGAAGTTCATTATTTATTTAAAAGCTTAAATATGAGATTAAAATCCATTTTTTAAAGAGGTGTTATAAATAAGTCCGAATTTATGCTTGCTTATCTCAGCTTTAAATTATCTTTATAAAACATGAACAAAATAGAAGAAAATACATGTATTAAAGGTGCATTGTTACAACGCACTTTGAAAAATTATGCACTTTGAAAAAAATTTTCAAAGTGCGTTAAAATTTGGGACCAAGCTAACGCACTTTGAAAAAAAAATTTTTTTTTCAAAATGCGTTAATATCGACCATATTAACGCACTTTGAAAAATGTGCAAAGATTGATCAATATTCCTTCAAATAATCGGTATGATAAATAACAGATCCTGGTTTGATAACTTTTTTATGACAAAGTCACTGTAGGACCTGAGATATTGACGTTTTAAATATTTAAGGTTTTGATAAAATAAAAGGGAAAATTAAAGGGTCTTGAAAAAAAAGAATGACGATTGTTTAAGTTCATTAATTCGTTTCTTCTTCTTTTTTTTAAATTCTAGTCTTTGATAAGTAGATGTAAAGGTGTATAGGGGGCACTAAGAGAGGACAGCTTAAAAGCAACTTATTATTTATAATAATAAAAAGGGGCCAATTTGATTGTTCAAAACCATGAAAATTCTTTCTCTCTCATACGTTTTACTGTACTTAAAAATTTCTAGTTTTCATCTGTTTTAATTATTATATAACTCATTTATTATTTAAAGTATTCAACGTCATACCAGTTAGGTAAATACATAATTATATGAATGTTTTGAGTATAGCATAGACATCGAAAATTAAGCCCCCCACTTATTTTGGAAAGATATATACATCGTATAAGCATTGAAAATGCAGCGTACCCTTTTTAGGTTTATTGCTTCCCTCTCCCGTTTGTTACCGACACCTATGTATTGAAAAGATAAAGATTTGGACTGAGGGATCTTATACCCGTCTTCTCCTCTTTTCGACGGGAGTAAATCAAATCATTTTTGAGGTTAGGGTTAGGCTTAGTTTTTTGAAAGATAAATGAAAAATAAAATATTTCCATGACTAAATATGATTTTTTTTTTCAAAGTGCGTTAAGAGTCTCCATGGTAAAATATATTGACGCACTTTGAAAATTTTTTTCAAAGTGTGTTGAGTTGGTCCCAAATTTAATGCACTTTGAAAAAATTTTTCAAAGTGCGTTAATTTTTTCCCAATTTTAACGCACTTTGAAAAATTTTTTCAAAGTGCGTAATTTTTTCAAAGTGCGTTGCCACAGTGCATAGACACAGATTTTAAGTTAATATTTTCTGTATAATATTACGACTTATATATTTTAATAGCATTTCACACAAAAATATATTAGAAAATCTTCTTTCATCTAAAAGTTATTAACACTTCAAGTTTTTAGATGGGTTTGATTGACACATCCTTGTCATAGTGTTTAAGTTCTTTCATTGGTTAAATGGGGTCAAACGGGAAGTTATTACATCTCAGAAGTATGCAACTCACAGTTTATGATTCTTTTAATCACAAAAATCAATGAATTTACAGGTATTTATGGCAGAGTGGAAATTGTGAAATTGTTCTTCAAGAAGAAGAGTTCAGGGTTAATACAAATGGATTGCGCGGAACATGCAATACTAGGTTTGAATTTCAGTCTGTTATCAGATTATGTTATAAGACTCTCTAACACTTGAATACCAGTTGTATAACTCAAAAGCAAAGCAGAATTATACTTAAGTTTTCCAAAGAATTCTTTTTAATGAATGAAAAATCATATGTAACTTAATTTCAAGATGTATTCAATGTTTAATCATTGAGTTTTATTTTGTGATATCCTCACCTATACTCAGGTAAATTGACTGAATATGTCTTTTTGATTCCTTTCCATAATGAATGATGATGTTTTGCATGCCATGCTAATGTGTCCATGGTAATGAATGAACTAAATATCTCTATTTTTAACCCTGTGTTTCAGCCATTGAAAATTTGGACAGAGCAACTGTTTGGAATCGCACTATGCATGTACAGTTTTCCAAGGCAGGGACAATTCATTTTGAAGATCATGAACAGGTATGACATAAACTAACAAGCCCGGTAGTTGTGAAATTTTCACCATAAAAAGACTGATTCATACATGCCAACTTTCCCCTGCAGAATCCCGCTTTCCTGATCGTGAGAGGTGTGTCACCAAAATTTCTGATTTTAAAAGACCGCTGAATTTTGACAATCGGGATAACACACTTGTTTATTCAATGCACACAGAAAAGTTTCATTGTTTATTTAACCAGGTGTTAAATCACAGGAAATCACTTCACGCATGAACGCACGCATGTGTCCAGGTACAAGTAGCTTATAGCTTGGGGCAATCAGGGGATTATCTTGTCAGTTTTAAGGGGTATGCAAGGTGAAACACATAGATTAATGTGATAATTGTTAGTTCTTTTATTAAAAACATAAATTAAAGACAATAAAACACTAGTCAACCCATAAAATCGGAATCCAAAGAGATCGTTTTTTTTTTTGAAAACAAAAGTAGAATACTATAAAGCATATCAGCTGATTTTATCTACCTATAATGAAAAATATTGTAAAGTTTGGCAGTTAAAATATTATGAAAAAATTAAGATGAAACAATCAAGTGTATGTCAATTAATATTTCTTTTCCCTCCCTTCTTCTTTCTAATATTGTATGTTATAGGTATGTGCATGACTTAAGGAAATACCCACATGGCACCTTCAAACCTGACAAATTTCATGACTGTAAAAAAAAATTCTCTTTTGGATAGATGGTATAAATTTCTGTAAATTTAGTATCTTATTAGAATTTCTAATTAATTGAAATATAAATAAAATGTGTCAAAAATGTTTCCAGAAACAGGACTTTACAGTATCAAAACCTCATATATTTTTCAGCCTTTGAAAAAAAAATGATTTAAAAGTTGTACAATTTTCAATTTTTCACTAAATAAAGTATGTGTCCTGGTAGAAAAATTATGTTGTTTACATATGTAACTATATACCCCTTCTTTAGTGAGAGAGGCACCTATTTTAGAAAAAATATTTCAATTTTGGAAAGAAATTAAAACATCATTTTTTGTGTTAGATTAATCCGTAAGTTGTATTGATAAGTGATATCAATATTATAAATAAAAAAAAAAGATCATTTCATAATCATTTAATTTCACTACAAAATGTCGCGAATTTAAAGCTTTGAAAATTGTCGTCACGCGCTAAATCCCCCATGGGAATTTTCAAAAGTTGGCATGTATGCTGATTCCCTGCAGAAAGGTGTGTCAGTTTGATGAATTGATACACACTTATTCAGAACACATAGCAGTTTCTTTTAAGCATATGAAAAGTACCGATGTGTTACAAAAAAATTATGAATATTCATAATGCAGCTGTATTAGGAGGTGGGGCCTAATTTATACGGGAAAAGGTAACTTGTTATTGTGATGTCATCCTTGTAGATTAATGTGCACTGAGCACTATCAAAGGATGCTGTAACTTTGTCACAGTGTAAATTGTTTATAAAATAAACAAAGTTTCTTGCAGATACTATTTTGTATCTAATTGATTCAAATGCAAAGACCTTTTATTGAATTTATTTATTTATTTTATCTACATTCTAAGTAATCAATATTTCCTTTATTTCCATTTTCATTTATAAAATTTGCTGTGCATTTAAAATAGAATTCCAGTTACTGGCATTGAAAATGTCTAATTTTTAGCTCACCTCAACGAAGTCGAGATGAGCTTATGCTATACCCCCGGCGTTGGCGTCGACGTCAGCGTTAGCGTCGGCATCCAAGGTTAAATTTTTAGGAGCAAGTCCATTCCCAAGTAACTATAAGCCCTACCTGAACCAAACTTGCATGGATGATGCATCTAGGGATGTACACTACCAGAATTGCTTTGGATGCTGGATCTGACCCACATTTTCTAGATGAGTAGATGAGTGACCAGGTTAAAGTTTTTGGAGCAGGTCCATTCCCAAGGAATTATAAGCCCTACCCGGACCAAACTTGCATGGATGATGCATCTAGGGATGTACACTACCAGACTTGCTTTGGATGCTGGATTTGACCTACATTTTCCAGATGAGTGACCAGGTTAAAGTTTTTGGAGCTGGTCTATTTCCAAGGAACTATAAGCCCTACCTGGACCAAACTTGCATGGATGATGCATCTAGGAAAGGACACTACCAGACTTGCTTCGGATGCTGGATTTGACCTACATTTTCCAGATGAGTGACCAGGTTAAAGTTTTTGGAGCAGGTCCATTCCACAGGAACTATAAGCCCTATTTGGACCAAACTTGCATGGATGATGCATCTAGGGATGTACACTACCAGACTTGCTTCGGATGCTGGATCTGACCTACATTTTCATTCCCAAGTAACTATAAGCTCTATTTGGACCAAACTTGCATGGATGATGCATCTAGGGATGGACACTACCAGACTTGCTTCGGATGCTTGATCTGACCTACATTTTCATTCCCAAGTAACTATAAGCCCTAGCTAAACCAAACTTGCATGGATGATGTATCTAGGGATGTACACTACCAGACTTGCTTCGGATGCTGGATCTGACCTACATTTTCATTCCCAAGTAACTATAAGCCCTAGCTAAACCAAACTTGCATGGATGATGTATCTAGGGATGTGCACTACCAGACTTGCTTCGATGCTGGATCTGACCTACATTTTCATTTCAGAGTAACTATAAGCCTTAGCTAAACCTAACTTGCATGGATGATGCATCTAAGGATGGACACTATCAGACTTGCTTCGGATGCTGGATCTGACCTACATTTTCATTCCCAAGTAACTATAAGCCCTAGCTAAACCAAACTTGCATGGATGATGTATCTAGGGATGTACACTACCAGACTTGCTTCGGATGCTGGATCTGACCTACATTTTCATTCCCAAGTAACTATAAGCCCTAGCTAAACCAAACTTGCATGGATGATGCATCTAAGGATGGACACTATCAGACTTGCTTCGGATGCTGGATCTGACCTATATTTCCATACAAGAGACCAGGTTAAATTTTTGGGAACAGATCAATCCAAATGAACTTGAAGTCCTTGATATCTGCAGTATTAACAGTTATGAATATTTGTTTACATGATACATGTTTTTCACGCTACACGCATAGAAATGTGTATATGCCATGTAAGGGGTTAAACACAACTTGCAAGAATATTGTTGTTGGGATGAATACTTAATATTAAGAAAAAATGATGTGAGATTTGCATTACTTAAACTGATAACATTCGTCGAGGTGAGCTTCGTAATCTTTGATTACCTATGTTTGTATCAGTGTAATTAAACAGTGTAAATATTTTGTTAGAAAAAGACGGCTTCTAGGTGACATTATAGTAATTGTAGCATCCTTGCCAAATTTTAAAAATGTTTTTTAGTTGATGCAGGAGATCCATTTTCAGACTTTTATAGTAAAATTGCCACAGTAGAAAGCAGAATTCAATAAAATATCACAACAGTGAAATGATGGCATATTGAGATAATTAAGATATATTGCAGTTCTTGCAGAGTTTTTGTTTTAAATGTTATAAGCATTTACTTTTTCCCAACCTGTAGAACGCAAGAAATTTTGTTAATTAATATAAAAACAATAGAATGCTTTCTTTGATTATTAGTATGGGGAATTAATGTTGTAGCTGTTGCAGAAATAATACATAACCCGTGTGAGAGGGTTATGTAGATTTTTTTCTGCGATAGCTGCAGCATTAGTTTCCCTACAAACAACCAAAGGGAGACATTTTATTGTTTATAAAGACATCTTTATAAATAATCATATATAAAAGTGAATATGTTAAATATAGTATTGTTGAAAGGTACATCATTGTATGTTTCATTGAAGGAACAATTCTATACTGGAGAAATAAGGGTTATAATATTTAGTGGAGGTAAGTATTATGTATATATTTAAGGATGAAAGTTTTCTTTATTTTCAGTTTACAAAAGATTTCAGAAACACAAGGCTCTTCAGGGGAGGACACGATTTTAACTATCTGAAGTCCGCAAATGCTCCCTCTCCCATAATTCATCTGTCCAACTTAGTGTAAGTGATGGTTGTCATAAATAAATGCAGATATCTTTTATTTAAATTATGCTTAATTTTATTTGAAATTATTGTGTTATTAAATATTTATTCATGAATATCATTTGGGTTACAATTGTCTTGGAATTCTTAGACACATTGTTCATATACATAATTTATTTGATGCATTTTCTTTCTTTTGAATAGGAGCACCATTACAAAAGCAGACATCATCGATGTGTTTTCAGAATATGGAAATGTGTTGAACGTTGTCGTGTTTGAGTAATTATTGTTTATTCAGCATTCTAACTTGTAATTGTAGCTTAAACATAATAATTCTAATAATTGTTTTTTATTTGATCCAGAATTATGAGTTACTTGTGTAAATAAAAAGTCTTTGACAAAAACTTTGCATTTGCACATATGTCTAAACTTTATTTCAAATCTATGTATTGTAAGTGATTCTTTATTTTTTGGAGCATATAATACAAATACATGTATAGTACTTCCTTTTTATGATAAAGACTTCTTGAGATTACATACTTTAAAGGGTTTAAGGATAAAAGTTTTTTCAAATTTATTTCATAAGCTGAATCAGTTGACTTAGTAAAGAGTTGTGTAATTTTGTAGATCTAAGGGGAAGAGAGGATCTTTGTTAGAGTATGCTTCAGTACCAGAGTCCATCTTGGCCGTCATGGTAATGATACATCTATCTTCAACCTGTGTCAATCAAATTCATATCATTTATCACTTAATTATTATAAAAAAGTTGCAGAAAATTACACATCCTGAAAGTTTTAGGGGAGTATATAGAGAAATTTTTGCAATAATTGAATTTTTGTGCCCCCCTTAGAAAAAGGGAGGGCATATTGCTTTGCTGCTGTTTGTTAGTCGGTCTGTCAGTTGGTCTGTCTGTCGTATCACCAAGTTTCCGTTCATTTTCTTCACAGCCGTTGCACATACTAAAATGAAATTTGGTGTACAGATTTATCATAAGATTATATCTAGGCCAAGTACTGTTTTGGGGATGAACTGGTCGTTTTTGACAGAGTTATGTCCCTTGGATTTAGATTGATTGATTGTATGTAGTTTAAGTCCCATTCAAGAATTTTTCACTCATGTAGAGATGTCAACATATACCGGTGAAGGGCTTCAAATTTTGACTTTTACTCAGCACTCGGGGCCATTGAGCAGTGAGGGATCTTTGTCGTGCCAATGCCTGCCGTGACATGGGACCTCGGTTTTCAAAGTCTCATCTGAAGGACCCGCAACTTTCACTTCAAGTGCCAAGCACATGGCAAAGGAACAGTTGTTGCTCATTTTTTATCAAATTAGGTCAGTTGTGGCCGAGATACGAACTCACGACCTCCCGATCAAGTAGCGAGCGCTCTACCAACCGAGCTACCATGAACGCTCCTTGGATTTAGAAAAAATTCCAATTACTAGTATTTGCAGTTTCCATTCATTTCTTCTGCAGCGGTTGCACATACTGAAATGAAATTTGGTATACAGATTTATCATAAGAACATGTAGGTTATGTTTTGTTTTGGGTATGATCAAGCCATTTTTGACAGAGTTATGCCCCTTGGACTTGAAAGAAATTCCAAATTTATTCGGGGAAGGGGGGCATAAGTGTTTTACAAACATCTTGTTGTTGTTTTTTTCAATAAATGTATTTGTGACAGCTGCAAAATATGCAAGTAAAAGTATGCAAATAAGGATGCAACCACTATTACATGCAACCAATTATCCTTGTTAAGATATAGACGTTTTTGGGTTTATATTTATGTTACTTAATCATAATCTGTCGCTGTCTTGACTATAACCTTTCAACATTTTAAATTCTTCTCCATAACCACTTGGAAAATTAATCAAATTTAATTGCCACAAAGTATAATTAAAGGGGATTCAAGTTTATTCATATGAATAGCATTGCTCTCTTTCAAAGGGAGATAAACTAAGAATTTGTAAAGTTTGGTGGAATCATAATAATATGTGTAACTTCTTCATAACCATTGGGCCAGAAAGATGAAGCTTGAAGGTTTCCAGACAAAGTGTAGATTCAGATTTTCTGAGAACCCCCCCCCCCCCCCCCCTTCCCCTTTGCTCTCCAGAGTAGAAAGTTTTTAAGATATAAGTTCAAAGTTAAATTTGGGGATGTGTAAGAATAAAATATTTTTCGTTAAAAACGTGAAAGCCATGATAAGAAATATTTGCAGGATGTGCAGCTTCAAGTTCAGTTAAATATTGAAAACATTACCATGGGAGTTGACGGGACCTCACTATGGGATCAAAATTGTACATGGAAATATATAGCATTTTCATTTTTAGCTCAACTGTTAAAAAATTTTTATTGTCAATATGTTGCCAGTACATGCTATGTTTTTTTTTCCATTGACAGGCAATGCACAATTTCCTTTTGCCAGACAACTCCAGGTTAAATGTTACGTTTTCCCATTTCAAATCCTTGAACAAGAAGTAGTTTGAAAGAATGAAGCTATGAACAGTTCTAGTTGGCTGAATCTGCTCTTCTTCTAAAAAATTTTAAAAAATCAAAAGAAGACGTATAGCTATGGAGCTGTAGGTACTGATGTGGATTTTTTATTTCTTGTGAATGTGTCATGATAAAATGTATTTTGTACAAGGTTTGTAAAAATTTTGTATTTTTTTAAATACGTTTGTTACATATATTTTGTTTTATTTTACTTGCCATACGCAATATATTGTAGTAGTACGTTACATATGTAGTCATTAACAGTATAGTTTTGTTAAGTTAGATGGTTTGAAATGCAATATTGTGTGTAAGTAAACTTATTGTATTCTACATTTGATACTGGCCAGTAAATAGCAAGAAGTCAAAATATACAGCAAAAATAAAAATTGTAAAGGAAAGGGAATATAAAAAATAATGTGAAAATTTCAATTAATATGGTACTTAGCCAAACTTTCCTTTTTATTCATTAAGACTAGGTCTTCCTTTGAACTGTTCAAAACTATAGTTGTAACTGAATACCACTCTGTGTTCACATTAATTTTGTATTAAGATTAACTATGTTTATACATTTTATTTTACCATTAGATATTATGATAATCACATTCATATTCACAAGTTTATATGTAGTCTGTTAAATAGACATAAAAAGGACTGTGAATGTTAATAGCTCAATTATTATTTTTATTTAAATTTGTTCTCTCTGTATAGAAAAAAAAATGCAACCAAAAATTATTTTTTTAGGGATTTTGTATAAACTAAAGAGATCTTACTTTTTATGCATATTCTTCCAACACCTTGTTTATAGTTTATAACATGTTGTCTTCTAATGTAAAAGACTTTTCTGAAAGTATTATCCTGTGACATATTAATTTCTTGCTTCTGTACTTGTTTGACTTTTCACCTTTCTTTTTGACTCTGATGAGCTTCTAGTGTCTAGCAATAATATTTTTCTTCAATTTGAAAAATCATTCCTTATTTTTGGCCTGTTGTTTCTACGCTCCTTTCAGTCCATCTTTGTCACGATTAAGCCATTTTGTTCATGTTCATGCAAGAAGCATTGCCCTGTGACTTACTTAATCTGCCCATTTTATTCATTGTTACCTTTAATTTTCCAAATACAATTTGCTCTGGAAGAAAGTTTTGTGTATCTTAATATCATGCTGACGTTTTCTTCTTTTCTTAATTCTTCTGAAAATTGTTGATAGTTTACTGAATTGTTCTGTTCTGAAATTTGTGTCTTTTTCTATTTGATGCTTTAGACTGGTTGAGACCTTTTGCTTCTGAGACTTTTTGAAATTCTTCTTAATTGATTCCTATTCATGTAGATATTTGTACTTTTTTGTGTGTATTCATGATTTCTCTAATAATGAATCACCTGTTCTGTCCATCCTTCATTTTCATGTTCCAAGAAAACAATATTCAACCACTGAGACTGCACATTCTTTTTGAGAGTCTTTTTTCTGCTATATTTCTCTTTGTTGAAAAGCCCGTGTTGATCTGAAATATTAGTGTTCTTCACTGTTTTCTAAATACTTCTCCAAGATGAGCTATTTTCTGACGACAGCTTCAACAAAGGCATCACCTTTGATCAGTGCATTGATATCAGTATTTATATACATGCACTGAGTTTGCTAATATATCTTGTGCTTTAATAATTCAGGAACAGGGGCACTTGTTTCTGTAATAATTTTTTTAACCCATAGTATATTAAAACTATACATGTATACGTATGTGTTGAAAATTTATTACAGAAACAAGTGTGTGTGTGTACAAGAAGCATCGTATAAAGTAGTACTCATCTGTTTTAGTAATTTTGCAACTTATTTTAATTTTTCATATGTAACTCTTTTTTAAGAATCATCAAAATGTGTTACTAAAAATTTTTGTTAGAGGTTGTTTGAGATTATTTGATGAGGTTTAAAAACTCACCAAAGGTGCTGCATTATGTTGTAATATTTTATTTTTTCCACATGTAGTTAACATGATATTCATAAATAAAATTCTGTTCAATTTTATTTGTTTCTTATTTTGATCAAAAAGCTTATGCTTTTTCTATTTTGCAGTGTATATACTAGATGTTTTTTGACTATATCCTACGATCCCTGGACCAATTTTTATTCAGTACCAGAAAATCCTTGATATTAAGGCTTCATTTATTCCAAAATTAGGGGAAACAACCAAATTCAAAGAATTGTGGTCCCCCGCTTTTGGTGTTTTTGTGGGTGAGATGTCACTTTTATGACATATTGTGTCAAATATGAATGCCCCATCAAACGTCATTTAAAAATTATCCCTGAAGTTGATTTTTTTTTTTTTAAAAAGGTCAATCGTGAAGGTCAAGGGGTCAGAAATCATTATAAGCATGCTCAGAAATATCTTGTCACAAGTAATGCACATGTCAAATATGAAAGCCCTATTTCTTCTCAATATAAGGAACAAGATGTGTTTGTGAAACACTGATGACCCGTATGGCAACAAAGCAAAGATTAAACTTTTCTAAAATGCAAATTAAATATATTACTGTATAAGCCAAAGTAGGGTCTTCTCACAAGAAATACGATTGTGAAATATGAATGCCCTAACACCACTTGTTCAAAACTTATGACCAGGGATAGTTCTTGAAATGTACGTCAAACTCCAAGGTCAAAGGGTCAAAGTTGTTGGTTTATTAAGAAAGGTCTTCTCACAAGTATTACAAATGTGAAGTATAAAAGCCCTAACCCTAAAGTTAAAACTAAACTACAAAAGTTATGACCAAGGTTAAAGTTTTTAAAGAGTAGGTCAAACTCCAGTGTCAAGGTCAAAGTTCTTGATATCCAATGAAAGGTCCTGTCACAAGGATTAAATTTGTCAAGTATGAAAGCCCTAGCCCTTACCGTTCAAAAGTTATGGCCAAGGTTAAACTTTTTTCAAAAGTACGGAAATCTCCAAGGTCAAGGTCAAAAGTTCAAATTTGTTTGTATCAAATGAAAGTTCTTGCCACAAAGAATACATATGTGAAATAAGAAAGTCCTATACCTACTGTTCAAAAGTTATGGCCATGGTCATAGTTTTTATAGTAGGTCAAACTCCAGGGTCAAGGTCAAAGGGTCAATGTTCTTGATATTCAATGAAAGGTCCTGTCACGAGGATTACATTGTGTAGTATGAAAGCCCTACCTCTTAATTACCCTTCAGTTATGGTCAAGGTGTGTTCTTAAAAGTAAGTCAAACTCCAAGGTCAAGGTCAAAGTTCATGGTATACAATGAAAGGACTCCTCACAAGGATAACATATGTGAAGAATGAAAGCCCTAGCCCTTACCGTTCAAAGATTATGGCCAAGGTTAAAGTTTCTTCATAAGTACGGAAATATCCAAGGTCAAGGTCAAAGTTGTTGGTATCCAATGAAAGGCCTTGCCACGAAAAATACATAATTATGTGAAATATGAAAGCCCTAGTCCTCACCGTTCAAAAGTTAAGGCTAAAGTAAAAGTTAAGAATTTTAGTGTAAAAGTGGGTCAAACTCCAAGGTCAGGGTCAAAAGGTCAAATTTGGTGGTACCCAAAGAAAGGTTTTGTCACAAGGAATACACACGTGAAATATGAAAGCCATAGCTTTTCTCAATCAAAAGTTATGGGCAAGGTCAAAGTTTTTGTGACGGACGGACAGCTAGACAGAAATGTCCCCTCGCTTTCGCGAAAGCGGGGGACAATAATCAGGGAAAAGTAGAATTAGTAGAAGTTGCTGAAATTTTTCCTCAAGAACCAAAGGGCAGGTCACTAAACTTGTACTTAAGGATGAGGATAAATTCTTCAAAACATTGCCCTTTTCAAAATAGTGAAGGTGTGGTTCTAAGGTCACATCAAATTTGACAAATGATAATTTGTTAAAATACTGAGGAAGATTATGCTCAATAAATCTTGTTAGTGACATGCATCTTGGAACATAGGGATATGCAGAAGTAAACCCAAAAGTAGGTCACATTGACCTAACCTTGGAATTTTACAAATACGGTACTCATTCTCACAAATTTTGATTTTGTGAAGCCTTGGAATATGAAAACCTTTTATTCTTTTCATCTGATTATACTGGTTTTTGAAAAAAAAAATGGTACGATGTAATTGGTTTGACAGTTTTTGTTTCTTCTTCAACAATGGAATTTTATTTGAAATGGATTGTACGTAATATTGATGTGTGTGTCTCTCTTTAAGAATCTGGGATTTAAATATATTCAAAATAATTGTCGTTACTATGAAACTAAAAATTTGTCAATCATTTAAAAAAAAAAGGTATTTGCTCCTTGTTTTAAAAAACATATAAATATAAAGCTGCTTTTTTCAATAAAAATGGAACTCTTAAATTATCATACCATCACACTGGTCATTTGCAAACTTATTTTATAAGAAAACATACTGATTGTACACACAAAGTACTTTGAAGTTGATATTAGAAGATGTTTGAGGTTCAGATGGACAGTATCTTTGTATTTTTGGAAGATATTAAAGGTCTTCCAAAAATTTGTTGGATTGTCCATGGGCAACAATTGTGCCCTGTTATTAGCAAACCTGTTTTCGCATTTATATACAGCAGAGTTTATTTTAAAAACTAAAAATGAAAAGAAGAAACCCTTCTTGTGGCCTTCAGCTCGACATTTAGATATATTGAGGATACATATCTAATTAACAATTATACTTACTTCCATTTTACATATGTATCCATATATCCAAGTGAACTTGAAATAAAAGACACGTACCACAGAGTCTTGTAGAAAATTTTCATTGAAAGTTTGTTTGCCCCCCCCCCCCCTTTTTTTTTGCAGCAGATGGTTAAATAAGGGTAGATTGTCTGAGTAAAAAAAAGAGGGAGGGCTTTAGGATTTCGAGGTTGGGCATTTTTCTCTCTCTTGTTTGTTTTTTGTTCGTCAATTTTACCCCCCCCCCCTTGTAAGTTGATTTTTTTCTCTGGACACCCTCTTCAAAAACGATGCAACGTTTCCTCACATGCTAATTGAATAAAATACCCGTACCATTCAGGATTGGAAATAATAATAAGAAAACAATCTGCTAATAGACCATGGTCTTACTGGTACCAAATTCTATATTGGGCCTCTATGTCTCTATGTCCATTCTGAGCTGTAAGCAGTCACTGTCCGAATTTGAGTGAATGAGTTAATGCATAGGTGTCGGAACCGGGGGGCTTTTTCCAAAGATAGATTTAGAATAGACATTGAACAATGCTGCGTAGGTTTAGCCCCCCCCCCTTTCCACAGACACGTTGCAGTATAGGTTTAAAATTGGGAAAGTGGTGGTGTTTGGAAAAAAATTCGGTACTGAAAATCGAACCTTTAGCCCCCCCCCCCCCCCCAGGATTTTGACGTTTGGACAATAGACATTTCCCTTTTTTGCTTGTCAGGTTTTTTAGGAGGTCTAAAATAAATTTCTTACACTTAGCCCACCCCCAACTTTTAATATGCTTCCGACGCCAATGTAATGTATGAATGAACAAATAAATGAACAGCATACACTACTTAACGTACACACTTAATTAAATCATCAAATACATGTAATCAGAATAAAACCAAAAAAAAAGGATTTTGATTGATTTACATGTGTTGTTTAACGTCCCTCTCGAGAAATTTTCACCCATATGGAGACGCCACCACTTGCCGCGGTGGAGAGCTGCAAATTTTGTCCTATAAAGATGCTCGGCGATCAGGGCCATTGACCAGTGAGGGATCTTTTTCGCGCCAGCACTCACTGCGACACTGGACCTCGGTTTATACGATCTCATCCGAGGGACCGGTCTCCAGTAGGATTCGAACCCGCGACGTAAGGATCAACTCCTTACTTTGCTGCTCTAGGGAAGACGCTCTAACCACTGCGCCATGATGCAGGCGACTACGGATTTTGAAGACAATAGGTCCTCCTTTATGATTCGGAGTCTGGAAACAAAAATTTTGCACCCTCCAGAGTGAGATGCCCTCTAAGAATACTAAAAAAAAAATCCGACCCAACAAAATCAACATCGAGGAGCTGTACATTAAAAATAACTTACGGAAGCGTATCAGTACCACGTATTTTAAAAGTTGGCTTTCCCAACTTTAATCTTGGCTTTCAACTTTAAAGTAGGCTTTTTCCAATCTTGGCTTTTCAAACTAGAACCTTGGATTTTCCAACTTCAATTTTGGATCTCCCCCAACTTTAAAAGTGATAACTAGAACTTTATTCTGAGCTTTTCCAAGATTTTGGTCTTTCCACGGGTTATCCTGAGTTATTCAAGTTTAATCTTGGCATTTCCAACTTGAAAAAGGGTAATTCTAACTTTGATCATGGCTTTTCCAACTTTGACCTTGGCTTTTCCAACGTTAAAACTTGTAATTTCAACATTAAATCCGAATTTTCCAACTTTAAAGTTGGTATTTCCACTTTTAATCTTGGTCTTTTCATCTTTAATCTTGGCTTTTCCAACTGAAATTTGGCTTTTCCATCTTTAATCTTCGCTGTTCCAAAGTTAAAAATGGTAATTACAACTTTTATTATTGGCTTTTTAATTTCCAACTTTAAATTTGACTTTTCCAACTTTCATCTAGGCTTCTCTAACTTTAATTTGAGCTCTTCTAGCCCTTTTCCTCAGTTTTTTTCATTTGTTGTTAGTTATTACCAACTTAAGTTATGTAAACATTAAATCAATTCACTGAAATAGGTCGGTCGAGGGGGGGGCTTTAAAAAGGGGGAGCGGGGTCGTAGGGAGTTATGGTGTAAAACTTTATCACTGCGGAATAAATTGGTGAGCACTTTTTATCTGTGTCAGTTTTACTTTTTAAGAAACATCGGGCATTTATTTTGTATGAACGAATAAGCTATATAAAAAGGTATAAAAATAAGACCGTTATTAGGTATTTGATAGATGGGAATAATCAAATGCTACATTACATGCTACAAATACAACAGAACTAAATGTATCAATTCTGTATATGGAACACAATGAAAATTTTCCATCTTTCATCACAATTTCATAATTAAATTGTATCTTTC